GCATGTTCTTGGGTCCGCAAATGGCAACAACGCGCTTGGTTGTACCTTTTGTCTTGAAACTTATCTCGTCAACGTTGTACAGGTCTGCAGCAGTACTTGTACACGAAAATCCAAGGCAACCAGCCACAAGATTATAGAAGTCTTTAATATTACCTACTTTGGTGACATTGTTGTGAGCATGCTAAGACTTTGGGCAACTCTGGGTGCCAGCTGCATGCCGCTGTTCGAAACGCAATTACCAGCCGCGTCCAACAAAACAAGGTACTTCAGCATGGTGTGACAGCATCTGACAAGTTTATGCACGATTTCGTTGGGTTCGATTGGCCACCCCTCAAATTGCACAGCAGCAATCCATGTGACATTGTCACTTCCAGCTCCACTGGTCGGATGGACTTAGGTCCGCTCTCTAGAATGGAGATATCGCCAGTGAAAATCCTTCACACCACGTCGATGACATCACATTAGAAGAATTACGATATTGGTAGCGTTTGCGAAGTTGTTACGTTAATAAAAATATATGACAGAGTCATTCTTAGGGGTCTTCCTTGTTTTGCCTCGTCATGAAGCGGTACAGCTTGAATACCTACCTGCCACTCTTCCCGACGAAAGGAAAAAATTGGACTTCAGTGACACGCACGATTGGGGCTTATTCCTCCCCGAGGTACGCCTGCAGGATATTGTACACACGACCTCAGATTCGCTCTGGTGTGCGCAATTAAATTTCTGGGCTGTGCTATGTCGTCGCACGCAAGGCAAGGCAAATCGTTCTTATTAGGGCTCATACAAAACAAAGGTAAGTCAGAACATGTTGCACTGGGTTTGGACAATATATATTTGGATATATCTTGACGAGGTTTCTTTACAATTTTCAAGTATAAGCATCTTAGGTACGTGTCCGAAAGGTGCTACATACATCCGAACTACTCTAAATGTATAGAATATTTTACGATGAAAATTAAATGGACTTTCATACAAAGGTGAATAGTAAATACATGGATGCAATAAATTGCCAAACGGAGGGGGCAGAAAGAAAGAAACTGAAGGTGGAGCGATCGGTGGTCGTCCATATCTAAGCAACCCCCGCCGCCGCCACCATGTCCATGATCTTTGATGAGTATGGAAGACCCTACATTATCCTGCGGGACCAGGAAAACACAGAACGAATCAAGGGCATTGAAGCGATCAAGGTATGCCGAGCTGCATGGTGTGCTGGATGTGTGGCCACGACAATCTGACGCGGATTGCAATTGTCGTAGAGTAACATCCTTGCCGCGCGTACCGTGTCGAGCTTGTTGCGCACGTCCTTAGGTCCCAAAGGCATGGACAAGATGCTTGTCAACCAAGATGGCGACGTCACGATCTCGAACGACGGCGCGACAATTCTCGAACAAATGCATGTTGAACACCGCGTTGCCCACTTGTTGGTGGAATTGTCCCAATCTCAAGACAATGAAATTGGAGACGGCACCACGGGAGTAGTCGTGCTTGCCGGCGCGCTCCTCGAGCAAGCTGAGAAGCTTCTCGCACGTGGGTTGCACCCGATGCGCATCGCCGACGGGTTTGAAGAAGCATGTGCGGTTGCCGTCAAGAACTTGGAAGCCGTAAGCGACCGCATCGAGTTTTCCAAGGACAACACGGCGCCTCTCACTGAGACCGCCATGACAACGTTGTCCAGCAAAATCATCAACAAATACAAGCGCCAAATGGCCGAGATCGCCGTGAACGCTGTGACGAGTGTTGCTAACTGGGAGACCCGCGACGTCAACTTCGACCTGATTAAGGTCGAGGGTAAACCCGGGGGTACTTTGGAAGAAACCAAGTTGATCCACGGGATTGTGGTCGACAAGGACTTTTCCCATCCACAAATGGCCAAGGAAATTCGCGACGCCAAGCTGTGCATCTTGACATGCGCGTTCGAACCTCCGAAACCCAAGGTACGATTCTCTTTTGTTCACTCGATCGTGTGCTGAAGGGATCGCTCTCGCAGACCAAGCACAAGCTCGACATCACGTCAGTCGAAGCATACGAGAGCCTGTACGCGCAAGAGCAGGAGTACTTTCGCACGATGATCCAGCAAGTACGTCTAGTTCTGGGTCCATGGACTGTTTACAGGATTTTGCGTCGACATGATGTACTCTGACGGATTGTCTCGTCGATGGCGAACTTGGCGAGGTATTCCCGTGCACGAGCCTAACCAGTTCTATGATGCAGGTCAAGGACAGCGGCGCGAACGTTGTGATCTGCCAGTGGGGCTTTGACGACGAAGCTAATCACTTGCTCCTTCAAAACGAACTCCCAGCCGTCCGCTGGGTGGGCGGCGTCGAGCTGGAACTGATTGCGATTGCTACGGGCGGTCGCATCGTCCCGCGGTTCTCTGAACTGACCGCCGACAAGCTCGGCCACGCCGGCATTGTCCGCGAAGTTGCGTTCGGCACGACCAAGGAACGCATGCTCGTCATCGAAGACTGCGCCAAGTCGGACGCGATCACGGTCCTTGTCCGCGGTGGCAACAAGATGATTGTCGAAGAAGCCAAGCGCGCGCTCCACGATGCCATGTGTGTGACCCGCAACTTGATCAAGAACAATCGCGTCGTGTACGGCGGCGGTGCGGCTGAAATCTCTTGCGCGATTGCTATTCGCAACCATGCCAACCAAACCACAGGCATCGAACAAGTTCGTCAATTTTCTTGCAAGCGAACGACCGCATGATGCTCATCGATATGTGTAGTACGCCATTCGTGGTTTTGCTGAAGCTCTCGAAGACATCCCGATGGCACTTGCAGAAAACTCGGGGTTGAGTCCCATCGACTCGCTTTCGGCCGTCCGAGCGCAACAGATTTCGGAGAAGAACCCCCGACTGGGAATTGACTGCAACCAAACTGGCACGTTTGGTACGTTGGATTCCTTTGGTGATTCCACCGCGAGTTGTTCACGTCGTGGTGTACGCCTTGTAGACATGAAGGAACAGAACGTGTTTGAAACCTTAATCGGGAAGCAACAACAAATCCAACTGGCAACGCAAGTCGTGCGCATGATCCTGAAGATCGACGACGTGATGCTGGAAGGCGCTTACGCGTAGAATAACCGAGTATTAGGTGTAGGTAACAAAACACGAACCGACGTCGATTCGTTATGGTTGGACGGATTGCTTGTCGTTTGACGTGCGGTTGTCGCGGCGTCGGCGCACTTCGACGACTCGTGCCGTCCGTCGGTGCCTTGATCCGGCCCCGTTGGAGGAACGTCTGGTATCCTCATTGTCCGTGGTCTCAATACATGTGGCCTTGCTGCTACGCTGGGGCGCCATCGACCGTCATCTGATTGTTTCCACCTTGTGTTCGTTTTTTATTGTCATGATCCAGACGCACATATGTGCCGAGAAATCCACCAATTAATCCGGATACGGACAATCGACTTTCGCGCGCTATTTCAAAATTTGCCATCACTAGCTGCCATGGACGAAATCCCAGCCGCCGACAACGGCATTGAGCTCCTGAGGACGAATGCGCTTACAAAGCTCGATGAGATGCGCGACCAATTGTTGGAGTATCACAAGGAAGTCATGGCGCAGGCTACTGCGATCGAGGTGGCTCACCCCTCCGACCTCACCTCAATCCAGGCAAGCAACCACGACAACAAAGATGGTCTGTGGGAAAAGGAAAAGCAAGAGATTCAAGAAAAATTACAGGAGTTACTCAAGAGAAACGAGCAGCTTGCGATGGAACTGGCGCAATCCCGTTGCGAGTGGGATATATTAGGAGGACGAACAACGTCTCTGGATGATGTCGCGTAGGAACGCGCAGTACAAGCGAGAGAGGGACCAAACAAAGCACCGACTCGTTATTGTTGAAAGTCAACTGGAACACCAACAAAATGCTCATGGCGCCCAGCGAAAGCAACTCCAAATCAAGGATCACCTCCTAACCACCTACAGAACATCGATTCGCAAGCTGGAAAACAAAGTCATCCTTTGCCAAATGACGTCATGCAACCAATCTCACTTGTGACATTCATAGTTAATTTCACAATCGAAGCGCCAGTGACGCTGTTGTGGACGCAGTGACATCACTGCATGATGCGAACAAAGTCAATCAATACAACGCGTTTATGCGTCATCGTTTGTCAGTCTACTTTAAGTCGGTCCAAGAAGTCTTGAAGACGACCATTTAGCCACCGGAAATTGGAGGAATCAACGCCACTTCGTCGCCATGAGCTATTTCCCGCACATCGCCTTCAGCCACGTACTCCAAGTTGATCGCGATTGTGATGTCCTTCAAGTATTGCGCCGCGCGAGGGTACTTCTCACACAAGATACGTCGAAGTGTTTCTGTCGTGACACGTTCATCTTCGTTCGTAGGCTGCAATTCCAGACTCTCTTCCCGCCGTCCAACCATCTCGCGCGCCGCGGCGAAGTACAGGACCTTGACCACTACGACCATTTTGTTTGTTCACATGAATTCGAGCTGAGTCTACTTTATCCGGCCTTGAAAATTATCCGACGCGTCAGCCGCGCGACTTGATTGGCCAGCCACTAAGTCGATATTCTAGCGAAAGGTCACAAGGAAGCCGACGGGCGGCTTAACGTCAACAGCATGCAGCGACCAACGCAAAAGCCATGGCAGTTCTACTTCGTGATGGTATTCCCAAACAGCGCCAAGATTATGCATGACGAGGTAGGAAAGAGGCGCATGTTTGTCCAGATGCGGTTGCTGACCGTGGATTTGTGGTCGACCAGCTCAAGACAATGGTCGAGACAACCTACCATATTCAAGAAAAGGAGATCTCGTACTTGGCAAACCTCGCGGCAAAACACCCGCGCAACAATCTTCCCAAACCTGTATCCCCCTTCATAGCAGTCTTCACGAATTTCCTACGTCGGACAAACGGACTGTCGCTCGTGTTGCTGTGGCTGCTCGTTGGCTCGGTAACGTACGCCAGAGTTGCGACGGAGTATGGCATGCTCTTGGACGCGCCGGTCTTGTCGTTTATTTACGCGCTGATCTTTCTGCTGGGTGTGACGCCATACCTCGGTTGGAAGGGGGCGAAGACCAAGAGCTGGGTGTACCTGCGATACTACGACGCATGCATAATCTGCTTTTTGGCATTTCTGGGCCTCGGTGTGGCCGGCCTCGAGTACTTTCAAGCAGACATTGGTAACGCGCTTGCAATCTACGAAGCGTCGACGAACCACTCGACCGTCCAAGGGACAATCTTGTTTCCCAGGGATGACTCGTCCGTCGACGACATGCCCCATCCTGTGACCACCTTCATCCAGGCCGAAGCCGACAAAGCATTTGTCCTGTTTCTGCAAGCTCGGTTTGATGCGTGGTTCCCCCAAGTGGTCAACACAAACGCCACAACCAGCATGATGCTGGCTACGACCAATTTGATGTCACTGGACCCTCGTCCGTGGCTCTCGCGAACATTCAACGTGTCGGCAGTGCTTTATCCCGAGCCACTCACGGAAACCCCCGAGTGGATGACTGATTTTATCACGACTACGTGTGCCAACACCACCTTGTTGGACGGAACACTCTTGACCGGGTTTGTTGCGCTGCCAGTGCAGCCCACGTTCAAGTCGTGCCTCCGTCCAATTCTTCAGTTTTGCGTCAACACTGCGCAGTTCGTCGAAATGGCGCTCCTCGCCCTTGCGGGCCTCCTTGTCATTCAGTACGGAACGCTGCTCCTGCTGAAGTACGTCGACCCCGCTTCGTCCCCGGACCCATCTGCCTCGACGAAGAAAGCCATGCGAAAAACCAGCTCTGTCATGCACTTCTTCGACGCGGTCTTGTTTGTGCTTGGACTTGGATTTCTCAGTATCGCGGGCGTCGGCATTTACTTGGTTGCATCTCGCCCTGACCATGTGGATATTGACACGGAAACTCGGATCATGGAAGGCGTTTCGATTGGATTCTGCTTTGTTTACGGCGTGCTCCTGTGTTTGTCCGCGGCGCTCGGGTGCAGTCCCAAACTCATCCAGGCCCAGTCGTTCGTGCTGGTCTTGGCCGTGGCTCTACAACTCGTGCTGTCGACGGCCATGTATCTTGTCAAGACTGATATCGCTGCGGTACGATTGTTTCGCTATCTGCCTTCTGTGTACTTGTGCGACGTCACATGGGATGTTGCTGTAGCTGGCCAGCAGCGACTTCACTGCTGCCACATGGGACGAGACGATTGTCGAGATGGGACTGTCCCATGTCTTCCAGAAAGTTGAACATGCAGCAGCAATGAATGCTTCGTCCACGTCGTCCCTCAACATACTGCTTCATGATTTCATGGACCAGGAGTGCCATGCTTTTACCACCGCACCGACCACAGTCGCCCCAGAGACGATAGTTCCAACGACACCCCTCGTTCCTGCCACACCACCGCTCTCCACCAAAAATTCCACCAGCTCGACCGCCATCGTCATGGCAGCCACGATCCGTCCGTTGACCTTGCCGTGTCGCATCCACCTGGCGTCCAAAATCGCGGCATTTGTCGGGTGGATCGTCAATGCGGCCGGCGTCGTCGTCACGATCCAGTGTATCCTACTGGCGCGAAATCTCTGGACAATCGTGCTGCTCCCCCGAATTCACAAGCTCGCGGGGGCGCGACGCAGGCCCAAACGCAATGGAGGTCCCCCCACTGTCCCTTACACCGATGACGATGGCGCCCCCACGACAAAAGAGACGACCATTCCCTTCCATGTCGCCTTGGACAAGTACTGGGAGTCATATCCCCGTGGATCTGCCAACGACGCAACACTCGCCCATGCCCGCCAGCAATTCACCCTCGAATGGCTCAAAGTTACAGGCGCGTCGTCTGTGCATGAAAAGGATGCGCTGCTCACTATGAGCCAATTCGAGTCGATCGTTCGAGTTCTTGTGCTCAAGCGACTTGTCGACAAATGCGGCCTCGAGGTACAGAGTCCTCGCTTTCTTTCAGCACGCGGTTGCATGGCTCTTGGATGGCGACTGTCCTGATCTGTGTGAATGTTCGACACGAACACATTTGTGTCCTTTTCACGTATGCGCAATTCGTGTAGGTCGGCGTCAACATCTCCCGCGACGGGAAACACCTTTACTTTAAGTTGACTGCGCCACGCAAAGTTGTGGCCGAGGAAGCCGAAGCACGCAAGTATAAACTGCAAGTCCGCAATGCTGTGGACCCAGGACTATCGGTACGTGTGTCCTTTACGCACAGTTCCATGATCGCCACGTTTTGACTTGTGAAGTTTTGGACTGCGCGACAAGTTGCCATCGAGAACGCTGTATACGACGTGCACACGGCCAAGCAAAAGCTGTGTGCGTTGTACGGAAGACATGCCTTGACCGTCGTCGAGAACCAATTTTTCCCCAACGAGTCGTTGGCGCAAATCTCGCGCCGCATCAACGTTCACTCGCGAGAAGCCATGTTCGCCGACGACGCCGCGGCCAAATCCAAGAAAATGCCGCCACCGTACCGATACACACCGTTTGTTCCGTACTTTCGGAAGAATGCGATGCAATATCTCTACCAGCGCCACTCGACTCAGCTGGACCTCCCAACCACGGACGTCGCGCCATCGGTGTTTCAGGTCACGGACTGCATGAAGCTCCTGCATCTCGTCATCCACGACGAGCTTGATACTGCACGTATGATCTCGAATGGCCTGTTGGAAGGCTACTCGTGCCTGCACGCAGCATCGCGCTTCGAATGGGTACATCGCGTCGTCCGTCCTCGGCACGTCCTCGTAACAACCACACGCGTAGACAAACTTGCTGTCGCTGTCCAACGCATGGTTGACGTACTGGCGGCCGCGGCAACTCCACGGCGAACCCGACCCGGACAAACGCTACTTTGTGAACTTCCTCTATCGCATTTACCCGTTTCGCCAGCCGCTGGCGGAGGTCCGCGCGTACTTCGGCGAGCAAATTGCGTTGTATTTTCTCTGGCTCGGGTTCTATGCCCAATGCCTGTTGATCCCTGTTGCTTGCTCGGTGCTGTACGTCGTCCTGCGCCACGGCAACTACCACAGCTATGACGTGGACCCGGCAATGGGCGGTGTGCACTTGCGCGACATGGGACTCGGACTAGTCATTCTCGTCTGGGCATTCGTGTACGCCAAATGCTGGCAGCGCAAGAACTACATGTGCGCGATTGCGTGGGGCATGAATGGAATCGAAGACAACGAGCACGATCGCGCCGACTATTATGGCACAGAACAAGTGAACCCGATCACGAACGAAGTCGAGCGAGTCTTTCCATCGTACATGAGGGTGCGTATAGGTTTTTCGTGTCTCTGGAGGAATGTTCAAGGTGGATGCAGGTGCAACTGCAAGCAACATCCGCCGCTGTCATCGGAGCCATCGTCACGTGCTTCTACACGGTAGTTGTGTCGCTGTTCTCGCTCCAGCCTGCGCTGGTCGAAGCAGCAGGGCCACTCGGGGGTGCAACCCTCACGTCGGCGCTTCAAGTCGTTTTCATTCAAATCAATGCCTTGTACACGTCCAAGGTAGACTTCGACACTCGATCGTCCGTCACCGTGGTGTAGATTGCCCATTGGCTTAACGATCGGGAAAACTATCGAACGCAGTCCGAGTACGAGCATTACTTGATCATGAAGAGTATGCCGACGGCTCCTGGGATTGTTTCCTCTCATCCATGGATTCCTTGTGTAGTGTTTGGCCTTCAAAGCTTGAATCACTTTTCCGCGCCATTCGTTGTGGCGTTTGTGAAACGAACAGCTATGGGGTGTGTGAACCTCCACACGCCGCCGTCGTCGTCGTCGATTTCCGCCATTTCCCACGGCACGAACTGCCTCCCAGAACTCGAAAACCTGCTTTTCGTCATGTTCGTTTGGCGCGTCATGTCCAACGTGCTCGGTATGGTCATGCCGATAGCGCAACTGGTCCTTGGCAGCAGGCGTACCAAGCCGACCGATCGATATGACTTGGAGTACGAGCTGTCCCTCGACACGTACGAAAACACGTACGAGGACTACTCGGAGATCGTGGTCCAGTTCGGGTTGTTCACCCTGTTTATCTTCCCGCTGCCGACAAGCCCCATCTTTGCCTTTGTCGAGACCGCCATCAACTTGCGCATGGACGCATACAAGTTGTGCTACTGCACGCGCCGGCCGCTGCCGCGCAACGCCCAAGACATTGGTGCGTGGTTCATCTACCTTGGCCTTCTTTCGCGCTCGTGCGTGGCAATGAACCTCGGCGTTCTTTTCCTCACCGCGTCGAATTTTGAACACTACTCGAGCCAAGACCGGTGGACGTTTTACATGCTCAGCGTCGCTGTCGCGCTCGTGGCCTACGAAGTGCTCTGGTTTGTCGTTCCCAACCGTCCAGAGAACGCCGCCACCATTCTTGAACGCCACGAGTTTCTGAAACAAAAATACCTTTTTGCGTACGAGAATTCAGCGGCTGGAGCTGCTGGCGGAGGCATCGGCGCCTTCGCGCACCATGAACCGTCCTGCCAAGAAATGCTGGACACCCTCGAATCATACAGCGCCGACGCTCTGACGACGCTCAATACCCGTGTGGAGCTCCTCTCTCGATTCAACACGCTGTTTGCGCCGAAGCAATCCGTCACCGACGACGACTCGGCCCCGCCACACGCGATTGAACTCACCAATGCGGGTTGTGCCCCCACTGCGCTCACTGGAATCGACGCCATACGTGAGGCCGTGCGGCGCAGCACCGGCCTCTTTGACGACGAAGACACTATGTCTGGTATGAACTAGCATGATGTCGCAAGTCCTATCGTGACATCGAGTGTAGAATGGTACTTTGCCCCACAGCAGTTGCCGCCAACATCACCGTCGACAAGCAATCACCACGACATCCACACACACCAAAGCACACACGAGGCCACATGCGCGTTTGTAGAAGATGCGGAAGTCGAGGAATACATCCTTCGAGAGGATGACGAGGACTTCGCAGATGTGCTCTAACACGGACGACTCTTTAGGCGTTGTGTGCTTGGGTGATTTAAATGTGTGGAACCCGTTCTCGTACTACGTGATGCTGTCTGGTCTGCGTTTCGACCCCATGTCCACACAGCCGTAGCCTTTGCCCGTCGGCTTGAATTCGAGTTCAAAGCGCGGCGCGTCGACCTGGACACAAGGCGGTGTTAGGGCCGTGTACGTGCGGTGGTTGTGCACCGGTGGGTCGTCGTCATCGCGCCGGAATCGGTGGTCGCGAATACTCTGACCGCCGTGAAACAACCCAGCTTGATCCAGTGTCACTTGCAAACGCAAGTTGAGGTTGCCCGTTTTGGTCGACGTGTGTGGCAGTTGCAAGCGAAAGTCCTACACATCCCCAGCCACCGGCATCAGCCCAGCGCGCGTTGATCAAACGAGTGGCAACACCGGCTTGCCATCTTGACTGGGGTCGTATCGATCGCACATGACGTTTTTCAAGGATGCGCCTTTCAGGTACCCTTCCTACATTCGACAAGCATCACGTCGATCCACGACACAAGGTGCGGCACACGACGAGTTGTGCCATGGAACGTACTTGGTCCTGCGCAATTTGGCGACGAAGATCTTGGTTGGACGGCAGCGTGAATTTGGCGCGAAAGTCGTCCTTGTCGACGTTTTCGCCATCGACAGGGCGAAAGTCGTGGGAGCTAGATCCAAGATGGAGGAGATGGAGTGAACAAGTCGAGAGCGCACACACCTTGGAGGGGCATACGGTCCGAGGCCTGCCACGTTCTTCGACGCGGACTCGATCTTGAGATCGAGCTGCAGCGGCGATTTGAAAGTTGTGCGAAAGAGGGTGGGGTCATGACGACGACTCGAGGCGGCGCCAGCGTGTTTTATAGGCGGCGCGGGCGTCGCCGCAACCGCAAGGGTGTCGTTGAACGCTGCCTGGCACCCAAACGTGCACCGACCACCACCTCCCCCTTGATACAACATGTCGTTGATCACATCCACAGGCAGGCGTGCGTCATGGTTGAGTCGCGCCGATGCCATCCCAAAAATAGCACGGCCAGCCCAGGCCATGTGAACGACGAAGTGGACTGGGGAATGTTTCCAAACACCCTGTGGCGATATCAGCGCTACAACGGGACCAGCGGCAGCAAGACGACGACCGACCTGCGTGCTGCAAAGCTCCTGTCAACAGAGTCAAGTGGAGAGTAAGGGACCAACGAGGTTTGTTGCTCGTTACAACAACAGTCAACGATCTAACGCTATGGAATCGTGCGTGGCGCACGATGCCACTCATCGAAGTGACGCCGCCCCACTACAGACTCGTCTAGTCACTCGTACAAGGGCATGGCGAACGTACCCTCCCAGTTTCAAATACTCCAAGGTTGACGTATCGAGGGGAAGGCTGGAGGCACCAACGCCATTGCCCAACTCCCGGCTTGCCACCACCGCCGCTGCGCCACTTCCTGCAGGTTGTTGTTGTGGCTTCTTGGTCGAGTCCTATCCAATCCGGTGGGATTCTCGACAACCACGGCAAGCGATGAGCTGGTTGGTCTCACCACAGCGGGCAACGGAGCCTTTGTTCCGTCCGGCGGCTTCTTCTCGTGCGATGGAAACAAGTTGTCGTACAGTATTGAAAGCACTTCGTCGTGCGACAAGAGGCGCTCAATGACGCGAACGCGGTCGGCGGCCGTAAACTCCTTCATTTCAGGCCCGCAATCTACCCATCCCCCGACTTCAGACGTCGTGCCGACTCGTACAAGCGGCATACCTGGCACGGGCTCTGCTTTGAGCGCCGGGATCGGTCGCGTCTTGCTGTCTCGGATGTGGCTCCGGCGCCGCACAATGTCCTTCTTCACGGCATCGATGCTCTGGACGAAAAACTCCTCGAGCTCGTTGCTCTGCTGTTTGCTCGTTGTTTCGCGCAAACGGTTCACGTCTCGCTTACTCGCGAGGAGTTCTCGCTTGAGTTGTCGAATCTGTTTGCGAAATTGTTCCTCGCGCTCGACCGCCGCCAAGGGAAGCTGGAGACCTGCCGACGAGTTGTGCTCCCTACAGAACAATCATGGCAATCGTCCGGGCGAGGATCGGCGCGTCGTTTGTCCTTCATCGTACATGTCGTCCACTGCCGGGGAAGGCGGCCGCGTTGCCATCGCGTCCTCGGCTTGGCTGGTCAGATTGGCCAGACGAATCTCGAGTTCTGCATGTTCACCCGACACCTTGAGACGGTGGTGGCACACGCCGGCAAGTCGTACCTGCGCGCAGGAGTTTGTTTTGCTTTTTCGACGCTTTCAATTGCTTCTCGAGCCAGTCGCGGTCCTCTTCGATGCACTCGAGCTTTTCCTTCAAGTGTTTCAAGTCCTTCTTCATGTTGGTTGTGAACGTATCAAGCCGCAGCGCCTCCTTGCGATACCTTCATCAACGTGAACATCCCTCGACACGAACATCGTTGCGTACCAGTCCCGCTCTTCCTCGAGCAACTTGATCTTCTCCGATTTGTTCTCAAGCGTTTCGTTACGTAGGATCTTCTCCTTCGTGTCATGGAGCTCCTTTTGGACGTTGTACATGTGCGCTCGATACGCGGCAAGGAAATCCTTTTCCTGGCGCACAAGTACGGCTGTGATCTTCTCCGACAACGACCCCACGACCCCGTGCAGCTGCGTGTACTTTTCACGCACACTCGCCATCCTACCCACCTGTCACGTCAGCTCCACAGCGCGTGCCGCATTGCCAGAAAATACTTACCCCTTGGGCTCATACGCCGCGGCAACGATGGCTGGACCGCCGTCGCCCGAGGCGTCTCGAAGTGCCGTTAGAAACGTGTCTTTGTTGAACACGTCGCCACCGCCGACGCCGTGGCTAGGCCCTGGTGCCGACGGCGCCGCTCCAGACGGCAGCTAGTCAGAGAACAAATCAAATATCATCAGCCACACGCGTGCACAGGGGCATCGCCCACCTGTGCCGTGGCCATCGCCGCGCGGTTCGAGGTTGAAAATAGCGGTGTCGGTTTCGACTGTTTCATTGGCAGCCTTCGATGTAACCGATTCGCAACATGCCCGTAGATCTCTCCGGAACTTTCATGGCGTGTTGGAAACCAAGGGGCTGTTTCAAGCAAGTAAGCACCCCTGAAAGGAATGGCGTGGGACGTCATGCCTAGTTGGGGCCAAGTCTCTTTCTTCACCCTTGCCGTCATCGCTTCTGCAGCCTTTTGCCTGCTCGGTCATTGCAGCGCGACAAGTGTTCTAGTCGCATCGGCTTTGCGCACCGTATTCAAACGGCTCCATGATGCTATGAATCCCGCCTATGATCTGGAGTAATTGTCGGCGTTTTTACCATCCACCTCATGGCGAATGGACAACGCCACAACTGGAGCAGCGTGGTCACTGCATTCTCCATGCCACGGAGTGTGTCCGGGGGAAGCTCTTGAGAACATTGGTGTGCAAACTGAGTCGCTTACACGGGGGGGGCGGACGCTTTGGCTCGTCCGCGTGGCCGCTGTGTAACTGAGACGGTCGTTGCGGTTACACATCTCAACATGCAGCTCCAAACGACCGCGACGTCCCGCGCTGTGTCGAGTGCGTCTGCCCCCGTCCTTACGATTCGAACGGGATCACCTCTCGACGCCGAAACTCCCCGTGCGAATTGGACCGATCCATTCTTCACGGTCGAAGAAGACCTGTGCATCGTGCGCCAAAAGTGTTTTGCGCCGCCGCGGTGGGCAACTGACGCCGAGTTCCTCCGCGCGTTTTGTTCAACATTTGGCGTCGAGCGCAGCATAGCGCAGGTCAACAAACGGATGGCCAACCTCCAGACATCTAGTCCAGACCACGGGATTCTCCGTATGTACATCAGCACGTTGCTGCAAACCCCCGTCGAGTCCAAACACGACGTGGTAACAAAGGAGACCCTGCGACCTGAGTATGCCGCGTTCGTCGAAGTGTCGACGGGTCTGGAGAGCATCTTGCAGCCCCGACACGACCCGTACGATATGGGCAGGCTGCTAGTCGACGACTGGCTGCGCCTGGAAGTCCACAGCAAGCGATTTCCAGAGGTAACGGCGTCGCAAAGTTCCCCTTGATTGCCTGGCGCTTCTCTTGACGAATCTATCCACGCCTTGTCTAGTACGACATGGACGTGCCCAAGATGCAGCTGCGCAAGTGCTCCGCCGTCATCGACCGCTTCCTCACCGACGCTGCCGCCACGCCTCTGACGCCCGATCCTGTCACCGGCATGCGACAGTTTACCAACGGAACGATGACGTATTACCCCGCCGTGGGCACCACCAGCGAGCGCCTCGTCCTCACGGATGACGTGGCAGCGTACGATGCGATTCCATGCTACGACCACCTGAGTCAACCTGTCATGGCGCGGCTCGTACGTGAACACCACCATCGACTGGTCACCAGCATGCGTCCGACTTTGCACTCGACTAGGTCTTGTTTGCGAACGACCAGCAAGCGGTCGAGCGCCGCCTGACGATCCTGGACGAGTACGACACCATCCAAAAGATCAATCGGCTCTCCAACGACGAAATCAACGGACTGTACGCGTCCGAGGCGAAGCGCTACGTCAGCGTGTTGGACAATGCGCGGCAGCGAGAGATCACGCGGACGACTGCGTTCCTCGATCAAGCGCTGCAGAATGACCTGGCCGCAGTGCACGCGATGCACGCGGCGACACTGCGGGCCGAAGTCGAGAAAATCCACGCAAAGTACGCCGACCGACGGGACTCGTTGGTGGCGCGGATCGAGCACGAACGGCTGCGAGCACTCGAGCTGCATCGCGATTCCATGGACTTGACCATGCTCCAGCTCGAACACGCAATGGCAGTCAACACGCAGCAAGTCGAATCGGTCTTTGGCTCGTCCGACAAGCTGCTCCAGGTACGACTGCCAACCCGTCGCGACATCAGCATGAATGCGCAAAAACCATCCTGAGCCACACTGCCTTGGCTTGATGGCGTTGTTTTCATTCCGTGAAGAATTTTACGTTGTGACGTGGTTACTGATGTCGGCAGCTTCTCCTCTTGGCCGAAGACCTCGACTGCAAGCGGCTCCGCACAGCATGCATCCACTACCTCACCGAACCAAAGCGATTCCTCCAGTTTGCGTTACGCCGAGAACTCACGAGCCCGCTCCTGGCCGAGCACACGATCCTCGCGCTGCTCCAGCACTTGTCCGATCAAGACATCAAGGACTTGAAAGAGGAATCGCGCACAGGGTTTGCCTTCACCGACTTGCTCATGCGTGAGATCCACACGCGGCTCATCGCACTCACAAAAGAGCTCGAGGTAGGCACAGCGTTCCCCTGCATGCAAATCGTCGACTTCGCCGAACGCATCACGCGCGCCGGTTCAAACTCATGCTGGCCACGCAGGCCCTTCCAAACGCGACGCTACGTGACGTCATGCGGGTGGCGTTCGACTTGTCGACTTTGGCGAGCGAAACGATGTCACCAAGCGTCATCAAGCTCGGCCTCGCCACGCGGGCGTATCCCCAAGTTCTGTCCAAGGAAGTTGACCGCCGCCGCGAGTTCAGCCGTGTCAAGCTCGATGCGTCTCTCATGACAAATCATGTTACCTTGACCGGGGACGATCTCGTCGTGGAGCTCGAATCCGCGAATCGGTACTGCACCGCTTTGGCAACCAAGTCGCGCCGAGCGGGGGAGTTCGGCCGGTGGATGTTCGAGGTATCGATCAAGTTCATCCTTATGGCCTCGATCGAGATGACCGACTGTGTGCGTTCCTCGAGGTAACCCTCGATCGTGTGGACGCGGCGGGCGGCAGTGTCGCAATTGGATGGGAAGTTCCGCGGCAGTCGCCCATGCAATGGGGACCGCTCGACGAGTCCCGCCAGACTTCCAAGGAATCACAAGATGCCGGACCAACGGCGCCGCTGCCACCGTCGCCGCGAGGGCCGATGGCACGATTTGGGATGAAAAATGGCTATGGTACGATGCTTTCAGCCGTTCCTTCGATGGCTGGACGCAGTTTGGTTGAGCTGAACGGAGCTGCCATAGGCATGCTCATACCGGGACTGACGCCCGGCGAGGATGGAAAAGATTTTGGGATCATGTGGGTGTCGGATTCAAATGTGTCGGGTCCGCCAGTGGCCGCTGCCAGTGACGCCGCTCCCACCAGCGGGGGCATTGGAATGCTTTACATCAACGGAAAGCAACACAGCGGCATGCCGTGCTGCCGCCAAGGCGACGTGATCGGGTGCGCGATCGATCAAGACGCCACCGAACCATTCGTTACGTTCTACTTGAACGGGACGTTGGTCAGCGTTCCTGGTCCTCCTTCCAGCAACTTGAACGCGTCTGGCCACAACAACAAGGAAGGCGCCACACATGGCCTGAAGAAGCTGCTCTTGCACAGCGCCAACTACGCCTTGTATCCAGCAGTGACGTTGTTTGCATCACATGACCCCACGGCGCGAGTGCGATTCAATTTCCGCGGGCACTTTGACTTTCCCATTCCTGGATACGATCCCTACGGTGCTGAGCTCTTGGACCTGATTGAGATCGCCAAGGAAGGCGCGGCGGCCGTTGGGGGTGCCGGATCCTCCCACCGCCATATTCAACGTGCCTTGATGGAGGATCCAACCAGTCCAGCGGTGCTAACAAGTCACGAGATTCTGAACTCTGACATTTGAAATGAACGCGAGCATTGCAAGAGATTCCTGGCCATCGTTGCTCCTCGAATGTGCCGCTCGTCGGACGCTGAGTCCATCGGCATGGCGCGTGCAATTGAAAAAGAAATATTGCGACAATTTCTCATTGGTCAAAATTGAAACCAAATGAGATGTGATTGGTTGGTTAATGCGAATTTTCGTCATGGTTGAGTTCGAACTGGGTGGGATACATTTGCATCAACATCGTTGCGCGCGGCGACGACGCCATTGGCATGGACACCCCACTGGCTTCCCACGTAAAGCGTCAGCGCGTAGTGGCCGGTCGAGTTTGCGTCAACCCCAACGAATCTATCCACCCCCTCAACGAAACGGAGTTCCAAGCCCATACACAACTGCGCCGCCTTCGCTACATCCACCACATTGAACAGTTTGTAGCGTCCCAAGCGTATTTCAAAGCTGTGGATTACCCCCCCGAGCCGAACGAAAACGAGTACATGAAGAGATAAGCGATGAACGTCGGCCTTTATATTGCAACTATCGTCGCTAGGTAAAGTCCAGCAGCGCTTTCACGGCAGCGAGAGCGGCGGCCGGCAGTTTCTTCTTGTCGCCGTCGCCTTGCGACTGCGCCGCGTGTTCGAGTGTAGACACCGCCTTGTCTGCCGATGCGCTCGTGTCATGAAGAGTCGCCTTCACCGCCTGCGCGCATGATCCGTTGCTTGAATCGATCATCATGGTGAACCGCCGTACCTGAACACACTGCAACCACCCAGGGACGTCAACATGGTCGTCTTGATCTCCATGATGTGCTGGTCGAAGCCACGGGCAGTACCTGCAACCCGTGAGCATGGCGTAAAGCCGCAGACCTGGCTAGACGCACCATCTGTGCTCATGCAATGGGTGGAGCTTTGCCACAGAAGGACTCCTCTTGACGCGCTTGGGGAAAGGAGTTCCGTCGACATCATGCGCATGCGCAGCACGAGATTCGTCCGCAGCGTCCTGGACTGGGAAGGCCCATGTTCGATTGCACTGCGCACAACGAAGAGGTACCGCACCACCACTGCTCGTCTTCCCAACTACTTTTACATCATGAAAGGTTGAAAGGTGGTGTACCCAAGAGTACGTGTTGTGATGGCTGGTTTCCACCCACACAAAACGAGGCATGCCACAACCACTGCATCGGCATCCTCGACACGCGAGTCGGGGTCGACTTGACGGACGAGTGCCGTCAGCACCTCATCCACGTCGCGCAGTGTCGGTACGGCCAAATGATGCTGCAGGTCTGCCTGGAATGAATCGTCGAGTTGAATGGGCAAGCTCAGACGATGGAGTTGCCATGCAGTGATGCCGAGTTGAATGGTCGCATGCACTTCTGCTAATGCGCTCTCCGGAGTCCAAAAGTTGACCTGTGTCCGAAGATGAGGCGGCATTCACGTAACTAGATGAGACCTGGGCAAAGGATTTGGGCGATGGATTGTGTTTCCATGGACATGTGTCCAAGTGATGCGTTGTGAGGTATCCACGCAACCCTTCCGCAACCTTCCTGGCGCCCTAATGCGGCAGTACTTTGAAAGGGTGAAGAGTGAGGCTGCGAGTACCTCGGGTCCCAGTCGCGAGTCGATGCGGCACAACACGGTTTGATGGCAGCACTTGCACGCCAGTTCGTCGGGACCAGTATTGATCCATCCAAAGCGAGCGCACGTGAGGAGATTCAACTCGGCAGGCTTGGCAAACCAGTACAGCGATGAATACGTGTCTACCCGCGCCTGGAAGTCGGCACGGTTGTTCGGATGGCATTGTGTAAACACGTCCTTGGGAGCTTGCACTGCATGTGGAATGGACTCATGACTCGACTTCGCCTTCATTGGAGCGGTCGCTTTTTTCCAGCGTTCCATTACCTTGTCGACCCTTGACACGAGGGACTCTTTCACCGGGGCAGCGCCGACAGGGATCATCCTCAAACCAATTCTGCAATTCCAATGCAACTTCCATTAAGCCAGTCCTGCATTCATCTATTTAATCTCCATTTCTCATTTATACAAATATTTGATGTCGCTTCATTTAGAACTGAAACGTGTTCCGAAGGGATCGCGCCGTTGAGAACTTAACGGAGGTCACGCTGAGCAGCTAGCTTGGCAAGCGCTCAACCTGCGCTCCACTCACTCGAGTTCACAGTCCAGCCGAACGCAACCACCATTCACAGCGCCGTGCATGCCTACGACTCAAGATCCCGCCTTGCTGATGGCCGGCGTTCAGTGGAGAGGAGCACGGAACAGGGCGCACCAACCACGAGCAATTCACGTTTCACGAGTTCTAACGTAGCCCAAGGCATGCGACTTCGATGGCCAACTACTTTTCGACGTGCAATGCGAGGGCAGTCCATGGTACACACGTTTAGGATGCGAGAACGTGGATCAAGTGGAAAATTCACGTATTTTCGCTGCGGGCATGGCAGAGCTTCACCATGGAGGAGCTACTCTGGTGCCGAGGACACCAACTAAGACGTCAAAGAAAATGCATGTTCAATGGAGAGCCCACTGCGATGCCCAGCTAAGTCAGTAAGCGTGGATGATGCTCTTGGCCGCCTCGAGAGTCTTGAGCTGGTTCGTCAAGGTATGATACCGCTCGACATCGGCGATGTTGTCCGTGATAACGCGTTCGAGAACGCCGTCCGTCGTTTCCGACGCTTGGTTGTACACAGCGGACAAGAACGGCTTGACGTAGTTCGATTCAAGCTCCATCGGGACGACATCGATAAACCGCTTGGATCGCGAGATACAACTCTTTCGCGTACTGGTCGTTGGTGGAATTTGCACCGATGCCCGTGTGGGTCTTCAGCATCGCCTTCACAACTCCCATCGGGACACGGGCGGCGTCGTCGTCGCCCATAGGTAGATGAAGCTGCCCCAAGAGTCCCATGCAAGGACCGGCCAAAACGAGGTGTGTTTCAAATTACCTTCCCGTCATGACGTCGAGAGCGTCGAGCATGGCTGCGTTCGCATTTGGTACATCGCCATCGTCAGCTCGTTGTTCATCGTGTACGGACGGCTCTCTGTCTCGAGCACCTTGTCGAGCTTAACCAACGTTCAAGTGGCAAGTTGCGCCAGAGTGCCATTGGCAAGTTGCCGCAAGTGACTCTCCAAAGTGGGTTTCGTCTTGGCGGACCGAATGACGCGAGTGATAAAGCCATTCAAGAGCTTTTGATATGCCTCGAACAGCTTGAGCATGGGGTGCAGCCACTTGGTCACATACGGCGTGAGCGCAGCCGTCGTTACTGCCGCTGCGGCTGACGTCGGCTACTTGATCCACCTCCCAATGGATGCTGTCCAGCTCACTTCGACGTAGTCGCCGACAGCTACGATGCGCTTGGAAGTGTCGACTTCGGCCGCATCCACGACGGAAATGTTCTCGATCGCCGCTTGAAACTCCGCCTCGGCCAGTCGTTCGTGTGCACGCAACTTGTTGCTGCCAGCGTCGTCGTCGAAGAACTTGTTGTGGTAGGTACTACCTGCGCCGCCTTCCAATTGATGCACGATCACGTGCACACGCTTCTTAATGGTAGCACGGCTGGCGAATCCATCGGCTCCCCGAGGACGCGCACCTTGGTCTAGCAAGCCTCGAGTTGGGCGAGGATCTCGTTCATGACCGTCGACAGCGCCTTGCACACGGTGTCCATCAACAGCGCTGTCAACTTGACCGCCAAACGTGTCGTCCCACCCAACGCCGGGTCCACTTGAGACCACACGAGGTGCATCTCATAGACCTGTGCTTCGGTGGCGCTCATCAAGAGGTCGACGGGTCAACCAAGTTGGGCTTGGTGATGATAGAGATCGTGCGCGTGCCGTCGGGGTCAGCGTCGTCGGCCGCTTGGAAAATGGCTGTGCTATCGACGCCCGCGGGAACGACGGCCAAGATGCATGTTCGATCTTGCACCAAATGCCGATGGACGAACGCGTCCACGCGGTTGATCATGGCTCCGTCCTCGTTGTCACCGACAAACCGGACGAGCCCCGGGAAATCGGTTAAGGTAAGGTCGGGAAAGTCTGGGCCGTGCAACTGGATCTCGATCCGGTCGTCGCTGATCGTCTGTCCTTCGTCAACACGCTGCTGGGTGAGGTGTTCGATGGCCGCCGTGACCTCTTCAACAGCATGGATTGGTGTCGGCGGCGATGACCGCCGGCTTGAAGCGCAACAAACGCACAGTTCCCGAGACCGTCGTGGCTTGTGTAAGAATGAGCCGTGTCGGGCATCGTGTTGTGAGGGTGCCCGCAGACGGAAACGGGATCCAGGACAACGCCGACAGCACGGACGACATGCCACTGGACGTGGCGTCGTCCATGACAGCAATCTGCGGCAGTTCAATGTACTTGTCCAACCCCACGGCCCGCAACCGCTGGATCAAGTGGCGAGTTTCGCGCTGGGTCAACTTGGCAACCAACATGGCGGCGCTTGACGACGGCATCGGCAAATTCGACAATGAATCCCTTTGGCGCGCGAACGCGGCTTGGCCGCGCACCGTGCATGGGCCGCGTGGAATCATTCGTGCACAGGTATGCTCTCGATGGCCTCGCTACGTACGAAAGCTCGAGGGGGAGATCTCGTCTGCACACCACAAGTCAGAAGCGAGCGAATGCACACGCACATCCTCTTGAATAATGCAGCACGGACGACAATGTGATAAAGCCGATCGACTTGTTGGTCTCGGCGCGGTCTCGCACCAGTGCGCATCACGGTGGATGGCCATGCCACGTATCCCAGGCGAATGAGATTATCCAAGCTTCTTGTGTGGATTAGAGTCAAGTCCAGGAGACGACGAGTGAATTGGAGTTCATTGCGGACTCGCTTAACGCGGCGGCGCGTAACCTTGCAACATCGAGGAGAGGCTGGTACTGTTCACGGAGGCTTGCGTCGGCAGCAAGAACCGCTTGGTTTGTGCTCCACGCGTGCTGATCTTTGATTTGACTCAAGAACACGCGCAGCATGGGACCGGGAACATTCGTGGGTGTCGGCGACGACCCCGATGAGGAAACGTTTGCGTTGCTCGCGTACGTGGAATCACTGAGGCCTGAAGTGTGACCTGTCGCAAAGGACGAGACTGACGCAAGGGGCGATGACGGTTGGAGGGCCACCGCCAAAGACGAGAAGGGGAAGTGCGAAATTAGCTCAACTGTGTTGGCGTCGGTGAGACCCAACGTGGCGAAAGGCGCGGCCGAGGCGGCCTCATGCTCAAGCCGACAGGCGTACAGAGCGCATAAGCCATGGTAGCCATACCATCGCCCAACATATCCAACGGCACGCACACACGTGCCCAAAACTTGGACGATGGAATCGTGGAATGGAAGCACGAGGTGGGGACGCCAATATTTGGTCATGTAAGGAACTTGACGGGCAAAGTGGAAACAGTCGTTCTCCGTGCAGCAGTGCGCAAAGATGGGACCTAAGTCGTATCCACAATGGCCCGTCATCACATGCAAACACGCTTGCGCCTCTTGTGCAACTTCAAACGTAGGATGGGAGCAATACTGGACCGTGAACGGAGCCAGGAGCGTCGCGGCGCTTCGAAACGAATCTGCACTGTCTTGCGCGCAGCGGCAGGCCATTCGAAATATTGCGGAAACGACGACTGGGGCATGTTGTAAGTGATGCATGTTGGGTCTAAGCAATGGCACCACTAATTCCACGACGTCAAAGAGGGTCTTTGTCAACTCTTCCTTGATCTTTCGCACGGCATCGGGCACAAGTGCCTCCGTAGCATCCAGCGTCACTGCAAGTCCGGTGGCAGAGTCGTGGGTTCGCTCATGGACATGCCTCCGCAGCGCAACTTCCACCGCTTCGGCCCATGTCATTTCAAACCATGAACAGTAAAACGGTTATCCGAAATCCGGATAACTTGGGTGAAAGGTCTTCTTCATGCCTTGGCCTCTTGGCGCATCGGGCGACGAAGCGTGGATGCTGCCAACGAAGAAGCAGCATCATGGCGGGGCATAAACAGGACGAATTCGTACATTCGACGGGGCTCAAACAGTCGGTGAAAGGACCACTTCAGCTGGACGACCTTGTTGAAGTCGCTCGGAGACTGAACGCACTTGTGCACGAGGCAAACGACGATGCGTGCAGCACTGTGTCGTCTATCGCTTCATCCACAGAGCAAAGTGACTTCCTTATTCGCCAGGAAGATGACATCATTGATTCGGACGTTTTCTCTGAGCCTTCGATCACGAACTTGCTGGGAGTGCCCTCGACGTCTCACTCGTCCTATGGGATAGAATCCATCGACGATGGAGACTTCACCAGGGACAACATGTCATCTTCCGCGATCTCCACGATCGCTTCGTCCATTTCATCTCCTTCCGACTCTTCCTCCGACAACAGTGTGGATGTCCATGCAGCTAGCACAGTTCACTTGTCCTCCTCTGTGCTTGGAGTCTTCTCAATCGACCCACGACTCCCTCGACGACGACGGCGGCGGAGCCTGTCGTCATTTGGTCTCCACATTGAATCCAGCTCATCCGATTCGGATCACAGTAGCGACGACTCGACCACTCGCTATCGGAGGAAATGTATTCGGCTGGATTGTCTCGTCCAGGCCAAGGACCACCAGCGCCATGCATCCATGGTCAACCAGCTATCGCCACTTGATAGCCCTGAGAGGATGCAACTTCTCACGGAATCCCATCCTTTCCCACAGACAACCACCCATCAAGACGAAGACGATTCGGTGCTGTATCCATCAGCTTCGCTCACTGCTGCAACCACTCGTCCTTGCCCTCATTCGATCCTTTCCTCCACAACGACGTCCATGGCCCACCTGCCATGGAATGGCCCTCCCATCTTCTGCATTCCAGGCACCACGGCGGCCAAGTCGTCGTCTGCTTCTGAATGGTACATGTCGTTCTCGACATCCCAGCTTCCAGCCATCATGGAACAGTATGTGCCCAAGCACGCAAAGGTTGTGGACGTTGGCTGCGGCCGCTCGGGCCTCTGCCATGAGCTAGTCTTAGCTGGCTACAGCAACGTGACTGGCATCGATACGGATGCCGACGCCATTGCTTCACAAAGCACACGACGTTCGTTGCTCGAGCCATATTTAACCTTTCAAACGGTGGACGCACGGCACCTCGACACAACATTCGGCGCGCATTCCGTCGACTGCATCGTGGCCAAGGCGACGCTCGACCTTGTTCGTCCCCCCGAACGACTCGGCATCCTCACCGCATGCCTCGCCGTTCTTCGTCCTGGCGGCGTTCTGCTGTGGGTGTCATGCCAAGTGGACAGCACCGTCTCGCGCTGGTGGGACGAACCCGCGATCCAATCGCTCTTGGCCACGCATGTGGACAGCGTGTGCACGCAGCTCCTGGGTCCCGTCGTCGGCCCATGCTTCGGTCACGCGCCAGGGTTCGTGGCCAATGTGTATCGAGCCAAGGAAACGCTACCTCAAAGAATGGCTCGCCATGTCGCGGAAGAAACCCAGCTCTTCGAGCAGCGACTTGTCTACCAATGCGCGGTCTACCGGCGGCAGCTTGTCGAAATGGACCACGAAGTCGACGTTGCCATAACTCGGGAAGGACGCCGAATGTACGTGGAAGACTGGCGCGCCCACATACTTCGTCAGTGGAGCTATGCGGCACACAATGAAGAGCTCATTGAGGCATACACTGTCGTGGCAGACGAAGAAGCGCGAGTCGCCGAGTGTGGCGCCATGGCGGTGCAAGATGCCCATGCACTTCAACTGCACGTCGTTTGGACGGCCTTGGATGTCGTTGACAGCATCGTGTGTGCCGTGGAAGCAGCACATACAAAGTCGCTTGCAGCTTTCGCCCAAGAGCGAGCAGATCTTGTGACGAGTGAGGTATGGCGGTTGGTGGAATCGGCCATTGCAAAGTCGGACGCGACTCGCGCACAACTCGGCGCCTTTCAATCCTTTATAGCCCACCTCCTCGACGAGATCCTCCAAGCCGTGACACGCAGTGCGGCGGGAAAGGAGTGGGCATGTCCACCTGCCACTCGAGAAGAGCATGGAGACGGCCTCGACAAGACAGATAGCACTCCTCCTCAACTGTCGAGCCAAGATGTCGGCATTCCCGTGAAAAGAGTGGAGCGCTGCGAAGCCACCAAGTCGAGGACAGAGTTCGTTCCAAGTCAAGACTCTGCCGCATCGACCGTGTCCATGAAGGCCGGTGGCGACGCAGACGACGCCAGCCAAGTGAAAGCATTCGTTGTGGCATTGGTTGATCGAGTTGCCACGGCAGCTGCGGTTCCACAACCCAAGACCGCCGCTTCCGAAGCGACTGCTCTCAACGAAGGAGACACGGCGGCGGAAGTTCTTGCCGTCGTGGAGGCGCTAGTTCAAGCGGCAATGAATCGATGAAGGCGACTGCGCTGGACGCGCCAGGGCCTTTCAAGATAATGCATGCATGGTGCATTACTACGGGTAGAAATAAAATAGCTGGTCGTGTCGCCCTTCCGCACATCGATCGAGTGTTGGGTCGGCAAACTCTGGCTGGCCAGACGCGGTCGCGTTGGGAAAGGCGACGGTCAAGCACCATTCGGACAGGTAGTGCGGCTGAATCCACGCGTGCCCCATTGCAGAGGGGTGGACTATCCAATGCTGGTGGGTTTCGTTCGCGGAGCATTCAAACGAGTGAACGAGCGGGGTTTTCATCCACTTGTGGCTCCACGCGTCGAGACACGTTCCTTCCACGACATGCTGCAGCATATTGCGATCGTCTGACTCGTGGGCGCGAAAGACACGCCAGGTTTGTCGACGCGGGGAGCCGTTGCCGTCGTCGGCTGCGGGGGCGCTGGCTTTTAGGTATCCGTCGACGACACTGAGGCGAAACGTGGCTGCGTCGTCGTCCCGCCCGATCGAGTACATGCCAGAGATCCACCCGAGGGAACGATGGACTTGTCTGGTCGGAGGGACATCTGCAGACGCCGACGGATGGACGCCAGATACGCACAAGACGGCGACCGCCGCGATCCATCCAAGGACCGGCGGCATCTTGACCAAGTGAACCCAATGTTGTTGCATGGAGAATTGCCAAGGTCGCCGCAAGCACATGGCGCATCTGATTCACCCTCTGACGAATCAGTGACCAGCGAGGAAAACCGTCCGGATGACTTAAGCGGCCAAAGTCGGAGGCGGCGACCGCGCCGGCTGCCTCGACCGACTCGCCAGAGGGGATGCGGCGTCGTGGAGAGGGCGCGGTGCAGGAGGATCGAGATGTGTAGAATGGGATTGGAACGTATGGTGTGTTGAGTTTTCGAGCGCCGTCCGGACCGCGATCGTGCACAAAGTTGTCACGTCGCCGGAGTATTTGTCGATTGAGGCGACCGTGCTGCCAACACACTGGCACGCGGCAGATGGGCGGACGAATTCCCCGGTTGAGTGGGTGGGACGTGCTCCTGGCGGGGATCGACCCGCGAAGCGGTCGTGCTCGAGTGGTGGGGGCATGGCGGTTGCTACAACAAGTACACTTGATCAACTCGGGCGACTTCGGCAGAGACGGCCATCTTCGCGTTGGGGTTCCGCGCCTCATGCCCACAAACACTAGCTCATGGTGGTGGTTGGTAGACCAAATCGACGGCTTCCTTCTCGAGTTGGACACTGGGGTCGCCAGACTCTCGAGATCGTCCCTCTACCTCCTGGAGAGGTGCCCTCTTGCAAATCCATAAACTTCACCGTGAACAACGCACTACTGGAAGAAGTCGTTCACGCGGCGGTGGGTGGTGGCAAGCGGACGTCGATCTTGGTGGCCTTGGCCGGGGGAGGGGCCTTTGAGACCGACGGCGTGATGTTTGCCGTCCTTGACCAGGGGAACGCCACGCTACATGAGCTGCTGGGGACTCGATCGCAACTTCTTGGCGCCGACGCCACGCTACGAAGTCGTGGCGACGGTGCACCGCTCTGGCGACCGCCGTCGACCGCACCGATATCCAGGCGGTACTGGACCTTCCCATCCCGGATGCCGCCTTCGGTGAAGCAGCTTGCACTTGCTAGGACTTGATGTTTTGCGCCCCCCACAACGAGAGGACCGTGTGGAGTCCGTTGTACCTTTGATAACATCTTGGCGAAGGCGCACGTCATCCAGCCCGTCGAGGGCTCAACACACTTTGTCCCAGCCAACAACTCGTCTATCGCGTGCTTCATGAAGTAGCCCTATGTACAAGTGGATGCCCCCAACTTGTCGAGACCGATATGGCCTACTGCGCCAACACCATGGGCAAATGTTTGTGTCGAGCTCATCCGACGTGAAGGTCGGGGAGAGTCTTCAGCGAAATTCCCCCTACGAACGATCTCGATCGACTGTGCGTCCTTGTGTGGAAGCTCCATGTCCCACCCACTTCATCACGGCCAATTCGTGGGGGTATGGGTCGATCCCGTCAAGGAGCAAGTTCCAACTACTCAACCGGGGAATTCGGCGCCCATTTGGGCCGTTGGGGTGGGACGAGTGAGAACTTGCGCAAGTTTGTCTTCTGGCTGATTGTGCGCAGGTCAACTCCTGCATCGAATGGTCTGGGAGGGTCATTTCATCCACGATAGCACAGATGACCCTCTCAGCTCACGCCGCAGGAATCGCCACAAGGACACCCGCGATCCTGTCTGCGTCGCCATCGACGGCGGCGGTCTGCCTCGGACAGGGGTCGCGCGACGAGGCAAAAATTCATGTGCACACATTTATAAAATGTTGACGGTCTTTTTGACTTCAAGTTTGTATTCAGGTTGCGACGAGAGGTTTTAAAATTCCCGTCCACCAAGTTGAAGCCATTTATCCGGATTTTGAGAGCCGGTAATGTGTCAAGGACTAGAATGTGATATAAAATATCTGGTTACATACAAATACCAAGCTCCATGTCGTATTTAAATCGAGCTGCGCCTCCCCCAGCATCCGGATACAAACCAGATGGGAGTGTCGGCTTCCGCAACTTCCTCGCCCTATTCTGCTTTCTCTGAACAGACGACGTCCAACATGACTGGCGCGCACGACGAAGGAGACCTGGCGATGCCGAGCGTGCTGCGAGTCGGCCTCGAGATCGAAAACATTGGCGAACGCATCCCCTCGTCGAAGAAGCGCTTAAGCTGGCGCTTTGTCTTTGCCGACTCTGAGGAGGTTCACACTGTCACGCTCGAACACTCGCGAGTGTCGGCGAAGAAGCGCGTGAAACTTGATGGCAAGCGCATCGGTGCGTCCGAGAGCTTCACAGCGGGGCCCTGGACGTTTGAATTTGCCATCCCGACCCATCCAAACGTCCCATTTCAAATTGTGATCAAAGATTTGCCGTCGCTCGGATTCTTGGAACGGGCACGGGCCAACTTGAACCCTGACATTCTTTACTCGTTCTGGGTGTACGGCAAGAAGTGGGAAGAACTGACGGACCGACCACTCAAGTACGAGTCTACGGGGCTCTCGAACCGCTGGAGCAGTGCATCGTACTGCCGCCGCGTCCAGTTCTCCGTCGACTGCAATCAACAAAAGGACGTGCGTGTGTCATGGATGTTCACATTCGGCCAAGACGGAGAAGTGCATCAATTGATGTTGGAAGATTGCGCAGACGGAAGCAAGATTCTCGTGCTGGATCGCATGAGTCTACGTCACGATCAGCCTACCGACTCGGCTCTTACGTTGGACCTCATGGACGAGATCAAGCAGGAAGCGTGGGTGGCACAGCACTCGATGGGCGAGAGCGACCACGAACTTGTCGTCCGTGTACTGCACGACGCGAGCTCGCTTGAGGCCAAGTACGCGCTGTTCATCAACGGGTGCTCGTGGGTCGATATGGCGTCGACAGACTACACGTTGCAGCCGGGGTACTACCCCGTCCATTCCAAGTCCACGGGAAAGGTGTACTATCGCGACGACGCGAACAAGGTAACAGTGTGGGAAAAGCCCATCGTGCTACGGAATTCAAGCGGCAGCGGCGCCGACACACAAGTATCTCCCACATCGACGAAATCGGAGAACGCTGGGGTGTCTGCGCCGCTTAAACCCGTAGATCTCGGCCATTTGCTGGTGGAGCCCATGGTAGACCTGATGAACTTCTCGGATGACGCCAAGGACGAACAAGGCGACACATCGGGGTCGAGTGGAACGAGCAGTCCCAAGGACCTTGCCGAGCTTGTAGGTACCGATGTCCCGGCGGCCCCAGTCGACCTGCTGGCCTAGGCGAATGTATTTATAAGTTACCATAATGAGAAGTTACAGTCGTCAACGAGTTGGCAGTATCGCGCCGGTTCGCGCCATCATCATATTGCTCGACGATGGATGAAGACAAGGAGGGGAGCTGGTACAGCTCCATTGCTGTGGCAGTTCAGGTTGCAGTCGCTCGGAGCATGGTGCCACTCGACTCGTATCGCTTTCAAGCCTCTTCTCTGCCCTCGTCAAAGCATGATGCTGACGACCACGAAATGGCTGCAGCACCCACCGACGTGACCCACGCGTGCCCCCTTCACCATGACCACGCACGAAGTGCATCAGAGGGCGGCAAAGTTTAATAGAAAGAGAGCTCGAGTCTTTTTTTGATTGAACGGGAACGCTATCTAGCGAGCCAAGTTGGCAATGAGTTCCTTGAGCGGCTCTTGTTCGCGAGCGTCGACCAGGTCGAATTCGGTGACAAAGTAGATAAAGTGCTTGAAGCACGAGTTCAAGTGCGCCTCTGCGCCAAGATTCACAATCTTGTCGAAGTGCGAGTAGTACACGTGGGCGTAGACGCGGAAGAGGCGGCGAAAGATGTTCTTGACAGCCGCCACAAAGCCGCGGGGGTACGGCGTCTCTACGCGAGCAAGGACACGTTGACGGACCACGCGCGGCGCAGACTATTCCATACCCTCGTTGCACGGAAAGAGCGTTTGATCATTCAGCTGGTCTTCGACCCAGCTCATGAGCATGTCAATGTAGTCTGGTGCTGGCAGTTTGGCCGGCGTCTTGTATTCCTTCGTGTCCTTCCAGAGGTACTCGAATCTAACAAAGTATCAATCGCACGCGCCCCGGGCAGCGAGCGACGTACTTTGGGCCGGCACACATGATCGGACAGGTCTCCTTGTTGCAAAACTCAAGCACGGTGCCGTACACAATGCTGATTTCGTTGAAAAAGTCGACCGCTAGAGTCAACGTAACGGCGTCAGAACGAAAATGGACCGTCATGCAGATCTGCGTACTATTCACAGCGAGCCATTCGTTGAGGTCTTCATTGTCGGGCAGCTTGACTGCCGTTCGCACGTCGCCCCTATTTAGAAGACTCGTGACGCACGCCGGACGTGAACAAAGCAAGGACGCACCCGCCCAACGTTGCCTTGGCGCGCTTGTGCAAATCATAGCGTTTGGTGCCTTTGTTGTACGTCTTCTTGGGGCGGAAGGTCTTGTTGCGCTGGAAGATGTTCATGTTGGTGGTTGGATTGCCAAGTGAAGGAAGTGCTGGTGAGGCAAAAAGACGACGGTTACAGAATCTGCCAATGAAACCGCCGCTGTGTGGAAGAAATACCATTGATTGGCTAAAATAATGTACAAACAACATGTCATTGGCTGAATATATCCAATAACGTGACGACATCTTTTTTTAGCCTTGGGATACGTGCTGCGGCGACATGGACAGCTTCAGCTCAGCGATCGCAATGTCCCGCACTATCACGACGATGAGGACGAAGCGCCGAGGAAGGATGGAGACGAAACGTACTCTTGAACTTTTGGATCTTGCCCGTGATGGTCGTGGGAAAGTCGTGCCGAAACATAAAGTATGTTGGGATCTTGAAATGCGCCAAGTTGCCGCGAACATGCGCACGCAATGCGTCCGCCATCGCTTCCTCGTCGACTTTCGCGGAGCCACTTTTGTCACGCAGGCTCACCCATGCGCAAATGACTTCGCCGTATTCCCAGTCCGGCACCCCCACAACGCTCACGTTCGCAACGGCTTCGTGGGCAAACAATACCTCTTCGATTTCAGCCGGATAAATGTTTTCTCCGCCACGGATGATCACGTCCTTCGACCGACCGACTACACGGCAGAACCCTCGCTCGTCCATCGTGGCAATGTCCCCCGTGTGCATCCAGCCATCGACAATCGCTTTCTTCGTTTGTTCGGGCTGGTTCCAGTACTCTATGCCAGGTCAATTCGATCCCGCACGAGCAAATCGCGATACCTTTCATGACGCAGTACCCCTTGGTCAGCAATTCGCCTAAAAATTCTGTGACGACGGAACGCTCCAGGAACGGTCGCGAAACGTACCGGGTTGGCCAACATCGACCTCGACTTCAGGGTTCTCCATGTCGACAACTTTGGCATGGGTGAAGGGCATGAGGGTACCGATGGTTTCGACGCGGTCCATGAGTGCATCGCCGCGCGCCGTCTGAAAGGTAATCGGACTGGTCTACGAGCAATGGCACGTGGTTGAAGGAGGCACGGGCTCATTGAAGAAGTACCTCCGTCATGCCGTAACCAATGGTCATTTCTGGGGCAAACGCGAGCACCTTCTCCATGACGTCGATGGGGCATTGCGCTCCAGCCATGATGCCTGTGCGCAGCGACTTCATCTTGGCCACGTCGAACGTGGGGTCGTTCAACATGCGAATGAACATGGTCGGAACGCCGTACAGAGATGTGCACTGCTCCTGCTCGACAGCTCGAAGCGCCTTGGTGGCGTGGAAGGTCTTCGATGGGTACACAACTGTCGATCCATGTGCCAAGCACGCCAAGTTGCCCAGGACAACCCCAAAGCAATGGTACAAGGGCACGGGAACACAAACTCGGTCGGCGGTGCTGTACCCACATCGGTGGCCGACGAGGTATCCGTTGTTGAGAATGTTATGATGGGTCAATGCCGCTCCTTTCGGAGACCCCGTCGTGCCCGACGTGAACTGGATGTTGACCACTTGGTCGGGCGCGACGACGCAGTCCTCGAACGCGTGGTTGAGTGGAGTTTGGTCCACCAATGCGTCCAGGCCAATCATGCCCGGTTCGCAGTGGTTGGACGCGTCATGCAAGATGTAGCGCAGATGCGGAAGCTCGGGAAGGTTCAACGGTGTCCCAACATCGTTGCCGTCGTGATAGCTCTTGAGATTGGGCATCAGGTCGTGGAGCATGTCAAAGTAATGAGTCGTTTGGACTTGCGGGGTCACCAGCACGGCCTATAAAGAGCAGACGTGAAATGCCATCGCGAGAGAAAGGTGGTGACCTTGCATTGCACGAGGTTCATGGCGTATTCAAACTCATGCGCACGGTACGCCGGGTTTACGTTGACCATGATTACCCCCAGTTTTGCCGTCGCCCATTGCACTATTCACCAAATGCGTTCACGTGCTGAGCATGTGAGGATAAGGTGTACATAGGTAATAGTCGGCAGTGTTGGGGAGCCATATCCCGAACCGATCACCTTGACGAAGACCAAGCCAATGTAGCGCTCTCGCATACCGATGCACTTTCGCTTGTACTTGTGCATACGTCAAACGAACACCTTCCTCCACAGCCACCAGCGCCAGTTGGTCAGGGTGCTTGGAAGCAACCAAGTCCAGCATGTCGCCGATCGTGCAATCCAAGAGTGCAGGGTGTTGAGGGCCCGTGAACGTGGCAAACCTGCGAAGCATCGACCTGCACAGACAGCTGGTTGCACCTCGCATAGACGCTGGAAGGGGGTGCCAATGCTTGCCCACAGATAGCAGTGGCTTGCACGTGCGTAGAGAACGAAGCAGCATTGGTGTGGTGGTAGGTAGAATCGGCATTCCATCGGATCCATGACGATGACGGACGTCGTCAGTAGGGTATTTGGTATCTGTCGGGTATTCGTCCTACTCAGCAAAAACGAATAGTATTATGAAATATACATTCAAATACCGGCTGTTTGGGCATTCTGGCCGGTACACGCTGGAAACGGTGGGATTTCCTCAATTCCTCAGTTGAAGTTCTCCACCATCTTTGCAAGTCGGTCCACCACGAAGTGCGGCATGTAGTGCGCAAGGATCGACGAATGGAGGACCTCTGCCCATGCCCACGATGCCTTGCGGAAATCCTCGAGCATGTGGTCCGCTCTGCGTAGTTGACGAAGGAATTGTAGCCTTGGCCTTGTCTGGAAAGATCACATCAGGTCTCCCCATCACAAAAGGTCGAGAAACGTTCACGCGATGCATGTGAGGCTTTACCCTCCAAATTGAAAGGAGAGGGAACTCAGCGATACCAAAGTAGCAACAGGACACGTACTCGTGTGCTCAGTCTCTCGCTGCAGCTCGCTCATTGTCGTATTTGACACGACCTTGCTTCGAAAGGTTTTTCCCATTCCAGCATCCGCAGTGGCTAACCTCTTGTGTCCTCCCCAAAACGATATATATCGCACAACAACTCGCCCAGATGATGCCACAGGCCGACTGAACGCGAGGCATGCCTTACGTGTCCGGGGGTCGCGAGAGCATACATCGGCACGACCTTGTCGTAGTGGTTTGAGAGCTAAGTCAGTTGTAAAGCGTTCATCCATGGACGAGAAGCGACATGTCCCATGAGAGTTCGTCCATGCCGCGAAGTCGTGCACTACATACACTTGAAGGCCAAGTCCGTCCGTGTTCAGGGCCGTGCCGCGGCTGCGGCGGCAGTCTTGTCCCGCACAATGTATGTGGCGTGCTTGCTACGTCAATATAATTCCTTATTTAAAATGTATATCAAATTTGTATGTGTGGATGTGAAATTTAATAAACCGAGCAACACCCAAGGACAGACTCGTGGCTCACTTGGACGACCTGGGGTGGGTATTGTCCGATCGTGATAGGTCGTACAAATGACTATCGAGGTCGTTCAAACACATACATACATTAATCAAATGAAATCGAGATTGTGCTCGACGCCAGAGGTCGTACAAATGTAAAAGAGGCAGGGGAAGGGGTTCAAGTATAACGTTTCGAAGGGAGTGAGGTTGAAACCTTCTAGAAAGAATACACGGTGGGGGGGGACGAATCCTAGTCAGTTTGGAATTTGCCATGGCCGATCAACTTACCGAAGAACAAATCGCGGAATTCAAGGAAGCATTTTCCTTGTTCGACAAGGACGGCGATGGTACCATCACGACCAAGGAATTGGGCACGGTCATGCGCTCCTTGGGCCAAAACCCGACGGAAGCTGAACTCCAAGACATGATCAACGAAGTCGACGCGGACGGCAACGGCACGATTGATTTCCCCGAATTCTTGACCATGATGGCCCGCAAGATGAAGGACACCGACTCGGAAGAAGAAATCTTGGAAGCGTTCAAGGTGTTTGACAAGGACGGCAATGGTTTCATCTCTGCCGCTGAATTGCGCCACATCATGACCAACTTGGGCGAAAAGTTGACTGACGAAGAAGTCGATGAAATGATCCGTGAAGCTGATATCGACGGCGACGGTCAAATCAACTACGAAGAATTCGTCAAGATGATGATGTCCAAGTAAATTTCTCGACTCGAAACGTAGCAATTTATTAAAGCATTAAAAGTAGTATAAACTAGTGAGTTTTGAGCCCCCTCCAATGAAACGCACAAGTATTCTCACGAAGGCAATGCGCTCTCCCTTTGCATGTGCCGTTCAACCGACATATACAGAGCAGCCGATGCACGGACATGGTGCATTTGAGTTCTTCCAAGTTCTCGTTGACTGAGACGACAGAGAATGCTGAAAACGCCAGGATCGCTCATGCACGTTGAGCGAACGATTGCAATGGAAGTGATTGCGACGAAGGTGCAAAACAGAAGCAGTATGTGGATCGTTCACGGTGAGAGTAAACTCGTGCGCGAAACATCTCGTCGCTATGCATGGATGATCCATGTTGCGTACGTCCTTGCGTCTACGCTGGTGTCGTGACTTCTTCCTTGACGACTTCTTCAACTTTGACATCGACTTTGACGACTTGCGCTTCGGATACTTGGAGAACGACGAGCGTGAACCGTGTGTACTGGGCAATGATCATCTCGTGGAGCTTCGTGCGCAAGCGAAGGCACTCGATTTCGCACTCGCTCGCGTCAAAGAGCTTGCTCAAGTGCTTCTTGGACCGCGCATACAGATTCAGAATGTGGTACGCGTGCATGACCGCGCTCTTGTACTCCATGTTCTCGTACTTGATCACGATCCCGTCGTTGTTCATGACGATGTAAGAGAAGAAGCCCGGCTTGGACTTGAGCGCTTTGATCGTCTCCTCCACTTCGTTCGGCGCGTTGTTTGCCATCTCCAATCTTGAACAGTCGCACGAGAACGGCGAAAAAACATCCGGATAACATGACCAGTATCCGAACTGGTCGAATCGCAGGTCAAACCAGTGGCGACATGACAAAGCGCGCATGGAGCGGTCAAGGGTTCCTTCCATTAAACACGATCCACGACTTGAGCGCAACGTTTGATGGAGAAGTTCACTGTCGCTTATCGAATGGGTCGTTGCGTCTCCTGTGCTCATCGATCGGCGTGGATGACTGCACTCCGTTGGAAAATGCATTGAACGTGTCGCCGTGGATGCTGCATGCGTTGAACATTCCAAATGGAGGTATCGTTACTTGTGAGCCCATCCAAGAGTCACCGATGATCTCTCTCAGCCATGTTGATATCGAGCTTCTGTCTCCATTTCCTCGGGTTCTTGTGCCGTCGAGAAAGCGGGCGACAGTGCCACAAGTTGTCCGAGACAACAAGCTCCACTTTGAAAATGCCGTCGTGCGACAACTCAGACTCGTTGCAAAGGATCACTTGTTCTCGATTGCACTCATGGGTCAGTTGTACATTGGGCGCGTCGTTGCCGCCGTGGGCGAAGCTGGCCAACCCGTGCCAATGGGAGTCATCATGTCGACGACGACTGTGTTCCTTCACATGGACTATCCATCGTCGTCCCTGGACGAGACTGCTCGCGATTGGAAGGCTGTATGGGATGCTTATCCGTGGCAAGAGCGCATGCTGCTCGCGGGTCTAGCGGGGTACAATGCCTTGGTGGACCATATCGTGTTGCATCTGCGATTGGCGTTATCCCTGGACAAACCTTCCATCACGTCACACGGATTCCTTGTTCAAGGCGTAGGTGGTGTTGGCAAGACGCTGCTTCTCGAGGCATTGCGGCAACAATTGGTGGCTCTGCATGTGCCCGTTGTGCTGGCAGACAGCCACACGCTTCGCCTCGAGGCCGACACCAGTACGGCTTTTCCGTCGACGTCACAATTCTTGGCCCATTCCCTTCGTTCATTGGAAGCTTCGTCAAACAATCATCAACACGGTGTATTTCTTCTCGACAACGTGAATGCGCTCGTGGAAGACGACGGTACAATCTCAGCGCTCGGGCGGAGTTTGCTTCAAATCCTGGATCAATGGACTGAGCAAGGACGTCCGCTCGCCGTGGTCGCAACGGCATCGATGAAGGCGCTTCCGTCGTCTCTCACGCGGACAGGTCGGTTGGAGCGACAGTTGCTCATGGAGGTTCCAACGGAGGCCATGCGCGCCGCAATCGCCGACCGACTTTTGCACGACACGGTGCTGGCGGCGGCATTGGCAAGTGCCACAGGTGGTTACGTCGGGAAGGATTTGAGCAAGATCGTGCGGCATGCAACTGCGATGGCCAAGTTGAAGGGGCTTGCTGCCCCGACATGGTTGGAGCTGCTAAAGGTACGTGGCGCCGCACACTGTTGGAAAATCAACAAATCCATAAAATAGGCACAAGGGACCACGCCTCCGTCCCAGTTGCAAGACTTGAACGTCCAACGGCCAGATATCGACTCGTCTTGGAACCAGTTTGCAGGTTACGACGCCCTCAAGTCGCGCCTCGTCGAGTTGGTGTCGTACAAGTTTGACAAAAAGGACGCGTTCGAGGTGGGCAAACGGCGCGCGTCAAGGGGATCCGTGACGCACTCGCGTTATTGTAGCGCCTGGGGGTACAGACTGTGTCGGGCGTGTTGCTATATGGACCGGCAGGATGTGGGAAAACGATGCTCGTACGCGGCCTTGCGGCAGTCTCCAAGGCCAACTTTGTCCAAGTTCAGGTTGGTGGTGTTCGTATTTACCGCCGGTCGTGACGCATGCGTTGGTCGTAGGCGTCCAAACTCGTGTCCAAGTACTTTGGCGACACCGAAAAGGCAATTCGGGATCTCTTTGGTAGGACAACCTTCACGCGCTGTGCCTGACTCGGTTCCAGCTCGCGCCCGGTCGTCCGCGCCGTGCATTTTATTCTTTGACGAGGTGGCGACTGGACGTTGCAGACGAAACTCATCGACGGGTGTGTAGCTCGACTCGATTGCGGCCAAACGAGAGTTTTCCAGTACGGAGCAACCATCTCGTCGCGTCATGACGCGTCGCCATGCATGATCCATTAGACGACAGCGGCGGCGACGCGGGGGCGAGTGGCGTCTATGCACGAGTATTGTCGACACTCTTGAATGAAATGGATGGGGTTGGCGGGTACGTCGGCATCACCAGCCTTGTCATCGATGACGACGGGAGAGGGCACGTAGCCAAGGCGACATCGTGGTCGTGGCCGCCACGAACCGCGTCGACTCGCTGGATGCGGTACGTCCAACGAAGCTTCGTCGAGTCTGTGTTTCACGCTGTTGGCAGGCGCTGGTGCGACCCGGGCGAATGGACCAGATGCTAGAGGTGGGGTATCCATCCTCGGCCGATCGACGGGCCATTTTTCGCCAATACACGAAAACCATGCCGTTGGCGGCCGACGTCGATTTGGACGCGGTGGCAGCATGGACTGACTGCGACTCGACCGTCACGGGGGCCATGATCCGCGCCATTTGCAAAGACGCAGCATTGCACGCACTGCGGGAGAGCGAGGCAACCACGTTCGTGGCTCACCGGCACTTTAGCCAGGCGACGGCGGACTACTTACGGGCATAGTGGACGTAACGTTGTTTTTGCTGGTCATTTGAATGGCGGCGGTGAGTTGGCGTTTTGCAGAGTCGTGCGATGGCGTCGAGATCTTTCGCTTGGACGGGGGACGCGTCGACGCACGATACAGAACGGGATTCGACAGCAAAAAGCCCACGGGATTGACTGGAAGCAAGAAGGGGTGGACTAGAGCCTGCACGTGTTTTCCTGCACGTAAGGCAGCTGGCCCGTGCACTGAGGAAAACGGGTTCTCACCTCGGTCGCAGTGAGGCGGCGATCAGGATCGACGACAAAGCACGCGTGAAGGAATGAAGCAGCCTCTGTGTTGGTCACGCCGAACTTGGTGAGGATATCGTCGAGGGAAGAGGGCTTTAGGTCCACTTGCTGACGGAACGACATGTACTCGCGATGAAACATGCCGCGAGTCAGCGTCTACGAGGGATGGGAGGGCTGGTCATACGACAACGAATTCAACGTACGAGAGGACGGATTTGATCGATTTGACAGAGGAGATGGGCACGCGACCGCGCCGCAAACACGGGTTGGCCGAGCAACCCTTCGAGTACGATGCATCCGAGCGACCACATGTCCGCCGCACACGACAGCGACAATCCGATCGCAACTTCCGGCGCGCGATAGAGCATTGCTTGAACGTCGAATTGATGGGACGCCACCTGGTGGATGGCTTCGTCGTGGTAGATCGAGTTGCCGAAATCCACGAGCTTCACCCCTCCGTCCACGATGGAATTGTCAATCAAGATGTTGTCGGGCTTGAGGTCGCAGTGGATAACGCCCTGGACCGACGAATCGTTAGCACAATGAAAAGATGGATGAAACGACAGCTATAAGAATGGTCGCACCGCGTTGTGTACAAACGCGAGGGCCGCGCAGATGTGGAAGGCCTACGACAAAGGAACAGGATGCATGCGAGGTCTTCAGGTGGAATTTTCCGTACCATCAATCTCAGTTTGTTCATCGAGATCTGTGGACGCGCAATACAATCAAGGTCGGGGTCATGCGCCATTTCCGCAGCAGGTAAGTACCGTCCATCCGGCATGTGCTTGGTGGCTTGCAAGTTGATAGCCGACTCCAAATGCTCCATCACGATACAAAGTCGCTCACGATAGTAAAAGGATCCGATCAAGTGAACAATAGGCAGGCCCATGCGTGGACCTTTGGTCGCCACGAGCTCCAATATGTCCACCTCACGCTCGCCAGCAACTGACAATGCCTTGGTCCATATCTTGATCGCGACGTTCTTCTTCGTGAGGGCGTCCAGAGCAAGGATGACGACTCCAGATGTTCCGCTTCCGAGGTCACGGCGGTACAGAAAGCGATTCTCCATCAAGGTCACTCCGTGGATCAATCCCAAGGCGGAAGATGGCGACGGCGCCATGGCGGCGACTGACGAAATCTGACAATGCGCCTCGCTGATTGATTTGGAAACTTTTCTTGTATTGTATAGTATTTTACAGATAAACACCCATTTAATATTATGACTGTTGTTTCCAAAGGCATTCAACGCGCGGACCCATGCTTCTTGGGCTGCTGGTTGACACTCGCCGTTTGGCACGCCACGAGCGCTTCGCAGGCAGCGATGGCAGCGTCAGCGGCGTGCTGCTGTTGGACTTGCTGGCGCAGGAACTGAATTTCGGCATGGAGTTGTGCGTTATCTTGCTGGGTCTGATGAAGCACCATCCGAAGTCGCACCAACTCTTCCTCGTATGCTTCAATCGACGGAGAGATCACTGACTCGCTGAGGCGTGGTAAAAGCGGCGCCGCAGCGGCGGCAGCATGTTGCCCGCGAAGGAATGTGGTCAACCCATGCATTTGTTCACCGTCGTGCATGGACGTTGATGCCGGTGCATATCCAGTTGGGACGAATGCTGGTTGTGGTACGAACGCGTTCGAAGCGGTCGGAAGTTTGAGGAGGGGCTTTGCAGGTGCGATGGGGGTCATTCGGCTGCCACCTTTCGAAGGCGATGCGATCGACTTGGACGTTTTGATCCGCTTCGTGTCTGCTGATGACGGGGGAGGAGCAGCCGTTCCACACTTGAGGTGCTTGAGGCAGTGATCGATGTGCCGCATGAGGGACAGACCATACTTTGAAATCCACGCAGAGCCCATCCCGCACGTTTGTTCGAGCTCCTGTAGGCTCGTCGGGGCCATGGTGGCGACTTGTGCGAGGACTTGTGTTGGCATGATGTCCCATGGCCCAACGCCCTCGTTCAGAACGGTCTTGTTGCGCCACGCTTGGAGGTATCCAAAGAACCTCCTGCGTTGATCGTCATTCAGGCGCAGACCGCGCGCGCCGGACGGACTTGACCGCTTCAGCAACCTGGACGCGTTCTTGTTCTGGAGGTCCACAATCCGGTGATGAAGGGTCGATTCGTCCAGGTATTCCCCCTCCGACCGCGCCATAAGGAACAAACTTTCTTCCAAGCGAGTTGACATGCCGGGAAGTTTTACAATCACGGCTTCTGGCGCGTTTGGCTTCATTTGGCGAAGGACGTGGATGATCTTGTGTTGGACATCCATGCGCGACTCCTTGGACAGTCTCGCACGCCAAGCGCAACCCGGTCTGTTCCCATTCATTAACCTCCCCGCTACGGAAGGATTTCCTCGTCGTGATGGCGACGGCACGCGCTGTGATACCATGCTTGACGCCAGCGCAACATTCATCGTCATCTGCAGATCTTCCCACCAAGTTCTCGAGTTGGCACTCAGCTGAGTTTCAATTAGTGTTAATTCTCTCTGATTGGTCATTTCTGCCGAGGCCAAACCCTCTCCACCAATCATTGACTTACAATGTCCTGGGTAGGTCTATCCACTCAATTGCTCAACTCTGATTGGATAATAAAGTCGTGTGAACGAATTGCAACGTGACACCAACGCGTCATGACTCTATTAAGTACATACTATTAGTATATTCTTCAGGGATTGGACACTACAGTGAGTAGTAAGTACCACAAACCCTACTAATAGTAGTAGGTGCAGAAGGGTGTAACTGCGGTCTCTCGTTCGCACAAAGTGTGCCTGGTACACGCGGACGAGGTCGCGCAGATTGAACCCGCCATCTTGTGTATTAGATGGTGTACTCCTTGGACGTTGGTGGTGGGGTGGAAGACGAAGCGTGGTCAATGCTCTCGCTCTTGACATATGGGATATCGGGGGGCTGGCACGACTCGCGTCTGTCGGGGGTTTCCATGCGCATGGTCTCCATCTCAACAACTACGGCGGCAGCCTTCTTGGGTGACGTGTCGTCGCCCACTCTTGACGCTGCCTCACACTGCTTTTTCTTCGCCTTGCGACTTATTACGAAAGCGCGAATAGATACCGAGATTGAGCACTACGTGGTCGACTGGGGATGAAACGAGATGGTCCTGGCAAAAGCATCGTACCAATGCAGCCACACCGCCGCCAATTGTCACGAGCCACTTCCAGATAGGCGTGCCAACACACTCGGGGGGTCCAATCCAATCCGACGCACAGACGCATACACCATCTAGACCACCGATGAGAAAGGAATCCGAGGAAGGAGAAGGGATGCAACCGATGACACTGCCACGCGCCAAGTTGCAGACGACGACCGCGCTGGACAACGTTCCGGGGCCTGACGTGGTCGTACTCGGAGAAAGAGGCGTGGGGCTAACCCCAGTGCACGAAGATCCGTCAACACCACTCACGACCTGACGCGGGTGAGCGAACAATGAGCTGGCAGCAAGATCATACCGTGATGGGGTACTCGATCGACACAGAATTGCACGTGTCTGATCCAAATCCGCGAAAGTACAGCGTGCCTGGGTACTGTGGGCAAATCGCAAAGACGTTGCCATCTCGCTTGACGGCTTGCGTCGAAGACAGCACGGGAATGCCGCTTTTCGCTTGATTCGGCGCAAACGTCACGTACGTGACCAGGTTAGCCAATTCCCACCGAATCTGCAAGAACGACCCAGTTGTGGCAGTCGTTGTCGTTCCATTGAACACGGTCCCTGCCATGGGCAGCACGGTCGGGGACCCAATGTCTTTGTCGGCGCAGTGGAAGCAGCAGTAGTTGTGCGCTACGCATTGTGTGAATTCCATCGGGTTGTACAGAAAGTTGGGCACGTTGTTCAGACACTTGGCGCAGCAATTTTCGGACAGCACGCATTGCAGCATGGCCATCACGAGCGCGGCGACGAGCCGCCTCGGACACGACATCGCCGCCATGGTGAAGATTGCCTCAACTCTCCAACCGTCGGCAACGTCCCCCCCGAGAACATCATCATCCACGGTTTTCTTCGATTTCCACTATTTTTTGCATTAATTTCATTCCTACTCTGTGATTGGATTAAAATTATTAAATCAGTATATATATGTATATTAATATATATTGGATATTTGTATGTTATTGCTAGCAACATGTACCAGTAATAATATGTATTGTCATGGTTGAATCCACGGCCGAGAGCAACGCCACCGCCACGGCGTGCGACCGGCATCTCATAATTCGCCATAGGGAACACACACTTCACGTTACCAAGGTGACCTTCTGCCCTCCAGGGGACTTTTTCCCTCTCGTTGTCACTCCACAATCGTCCGCGGTGGCGACAAAGAGTCGGTTGAGTACCAAGCGACGTGAGTCAATCTCAAACATTGTCCATTGCGTACAATCCGCCCGGCGGCAACCGACATCTATGAGAACGCAACTGCGTGGTTCATCTCACACCACTCTCCTGTAGGAAGCAAAGCGCTTGCCTCGAGGAGCTGGGTGAGTTCCTCGTGAAGTTGTCGCTGCAGGATGTAGTGCTGTAAAGGCCAAGCGATCATACAAGAATCACGTGTCTTCCGAAGGGGCCACACAGTATACATAAATCCATATACCAATGCTGGAAAGACGCTGAAATTTGATATCATGTCCAATCACATCAATTCATCTGTTGAATATTCACCAATCATTTTGACATGTTGTTGAAGCCAGGGTATCCGGAGAGGATGCTTGGTCATTTTGTATAACTTTCATATGCGCAGGTCCTCTTCAGCTTGGTCGTGGCGGATGCGAAGCCCAACCTTCTAATGCGTTCGTCACGAGTGTAGCCACCGACATTTAATTTCTCATATTCGACGGGGGCGGAATATACTCTTCTGAATTGTATGGTCCTCGGTCCAATATAAAACATTCGAGAAAAAAATCTCACGTTACAGAGGGTGGAACGGCAGGATGCTTGGTATTATCGCATTCGGTTTTCGTCCATGTTTTTCCGTCGAGTTGTGGGTGCGGCCTTGACCGCCGCCGTGGCCGTGACCGCACAGAACGTATGCTGCAGTTCATGCCTCAACTCATTCCCGCTGACATCGTACGACCCCTCGGTGTGGTCCATCTGCTCCACGGCCCCAAAGCCCAACCCTGGTTGCTGCTTTTGTGATAAGGACCAGACGATCTCGCAACCCGCATTCAAGCAAACCATGAAGGCCGGGTCGACGCAGTATTTGACGTTTCCAGGCGTTGAAAAGGTCACGTTCTCCTTCGTTCTGGACACGACGAAACCATTTCAGCATCCCAAACCGAGCGGAACACCGTTCACCAAGAACGCGGCCGGCAACTACGTTGTTTGTATCGACACTCCCGGCACGCTGTACTTTCGCGGGTGGGGCAAAGAACTCAACAACTACCCGAAAGAGTGCACGCAAATGACGTCCGAGTTGACCATCACTGTCACCGAAGGCGACAAGGGGGTGACCTGCGATGGGTCTACTCCCGACAAAGGCGGCAGCTCCACTCCGGCTCCAACAGGCAGCGACGGCAAGGAAGTGCCGTGCAATCTCCAGCGCGGCAGTGTCATCGACGGTGTGTGCGTATGCGCGTCGGATTACTCTGGTGCCCCTGAATGCACCGGGTCGTCGTCGTGGAAGTGGATTGTGTCGATTTGTGGTGGCATTGCTGCACTTGTAAGTCGCGATGGTCGATGACGCTCCAGATCACACTGCGACGCTAACTCTCCATGAACTCTAGCTCTCGATCGGGATTTCCGTCCGCCAGATTCTCTTGTTTCGCAAGAAAAAGGCCGAGGACAAGGAGCGCGAAGATGCCATGGCAAAGTTGGATACAGTTGAAGTCGTGAATGTGTCGCATGGCCACGAGCCCGACTACTATAACGCTGGTCAAGCTGTAGCGAAGGCACCTCGCCGTAGTCCGGCTGGCCCGACCCGTAGTCCCGCCCAGAACATGCCGCCAAAGCCAGACAGTCTACAGCCGTACCCCGTCGCTCGTGGAGGCAATGGAAACTTGTCTCCTCGCCACAGCCGAGAGTACACGTTGTAGGCAGTGCACTTGCAGCAGTACGAACAAAAACATGCCCTCATTATCTTACTTTGGCTCAAGCGCCCCATCTCGATGCCGGCCATGCACATCCATCCCGTCTAGGTAGCCTCGATCGCAGAGCTACGCCACGGACGCCACACCATCCATCGCCGACGCACCAGCATGCTTCCGAGTTTGACACATGAACCCGCTACTTCGGTTGAGCGTATACGCGAGTATGGAGGACTGCAGGGAGCATGCCACATCATCACACAGCATGACTCTTTCAAAGATTGGTGAGGTCGACGCCCTCCAACCGCACGGCGGGCGTCCGATCGACATCCCGTGAACTGGAGCACACCAGCTACTTGATCACAAGACCGCTGCTTAATTTACGGATTTTACGCGACCTTAGCCTTGCCAGTCGACGGGGCAGCGCCCTTGGTGGAGGCCTTGGATTCAACCTTGTTGTGCTTGTCGAGGCCGAGCTTTGTGAAGATGTCGCTCCATTGCGACGTGCCCGCGAGGACCTTGGCGTGTTGGGCATCGCGGAATGACACGTCCGTGCCAAAGACAAAGTCCCACACGGTGAAGAACGACGCGTAGTTGACGTCGAATTTTTCGTGGTGGTAGTCGTGGTGGACGGCGCCGCCCCAGAACGGCAGGAACCGCGTGGGGGACCACGGGAGCTCGTACCCGCAGTGGCTGTCGACAGACTGGATAATGCGAACACACATCCACACCCACAGCGTCAGGAGGTGGCGGGTGAGGAGGAACGGGCCGAGGAACGTCCCAATGCCCAAGATGAGCGTTTCCGCCGGGTGCGCGTACTCAGCAGTGATGCCAAACGGCGCCGCGTACTCGTGGTGCACCTTGTGGATGTACTTGTAGATTTTCTTCCAATGCAAGAAGCGGTGGGCCCAGTAGTTGTAGAAGTCTTCCAAGATGGCGCACACGACGACTTGCCACACGATCGTGGAAAGCGTCGGCAGCGGCGCGTCCATGCCAAAGCCGAGCATGGTCAAAGTGCTGTCGCTCGAGATGATCATGGGCAATTGGACAAACACGTGGTTGAACGCGAGGAGCTTGAGGCACTTCCACGTGATCGGCCAAGTGTTTTCTTGCTTGGGTTGGATCTTGTACTTGTGGAAGATCGGGAAAAAGTCGAGGGCGAGGTAGGGCGCCCATGTGCCAAAGTAGCAGATTTGGTGCAGCCCAAACGTCAGCCCCGTGTTGATCGTGAACGACGAGTAATTGTCCAGCATGTACTGCCAGTACGGCAGGAGGAACTCGAGCCGGTTGATGCGGGCAAGCTCGTCCTTCCACGACAGTGGGGCACCGTCAACCGTGGCGGTCTCGTTGAGGACGGCTGTGGTGGCAGCGACGGCAGCCGCAACAGCCAGCACGCCTCCAGCGACAGTCACAGCGCGGCGCATCTTGGAGAATGACGCGAGAGGTCCATGGACGGATGTCGTCCCGGGGATGTAATCACTTTGATTGCATGGTGCGCCGGCTATGTCGTTGCGGAGCGCCGCTGTGAGGGCCGATCGGAGCGAATCAAATCGCAGGATTTACGGGGCGCGAGCCATTTTCTCTCAAAAAGAGTATTGATTGTAAGAGGTTTTCTTGTAAACGATTTGTTTACCGTGCGTGGCGATGACCCGCCAGAAACCATTGCCGAAGATCTGCCATGGACGTCGTGAACGCGACGCTGCTGGAGCATGGAGTGGACCTCGCGGCGTTGGAAGCGACGTTCCACGAGTTGAATTCCCTTGCATTTGTCGAGCCATACTGGCAGCACATGATCACAACGTACTCGCCGTTCACGATCGTGTCGATCTTCACATTTGTCCTCCACGAAGCGCTGTACTTTACCATTTGGGTGCCGTACTTGGCTCTCGACTTCATCCCGTACTTCCGCAAGTACAAGATCCAAGAAAACAAGCCCAACACGTGGAACGAAACGTGGCGATGCGTCAAGCACTTGATCTTTAGCCACGTCGTGATCCAGCTCCCCATGATTCTGTGCAGCGACTGGGGGCTACGCCAGCTCGGGTTCACATTCGATCTCCCTCTCCCCGCTGCGTACGTCGTCCCATAGCGCCATATTCCTTCCACTGACTTGTCCTCCGCCCATAGCACAACTATCGCGTGGCAGTGCTTTGTCAGCTTCATCTTGGAAGATTTCTACTTTTACTGGGTCCACCGCCTCCTCCACCACAAGAGCATTTACAAATACGTGCACAAGAGTACATCTTCCTCGTCGAGCGGTCGTCCATCCTCACATGTCATTGTGTTCCTGGCTAGTTCACCACGAGTACGCGGCGCCGTTTGGCATTGCTGCCGAGTACGCCCACCCGATTGAAACGATGCTGCTCGGAGTGGGCACGTTTCTCGGCCCCCTTCTGCTCACGCGCCACCTCTTGACGCTGTGGGTGTGGCTGGCCGTGCGTCTCTTTGAGACGATCGACGACCACAGCGGCTACGAACTCCCATGGGCCTGGTCCAACTTTCTCCCGTTCTGGGCTGGCCCTGTCCACCACGACTTCCACCACGAAAAGTTTGACGGTAACTACGCGTCCGTGTTTACGGTCTGGGACTACGTGTTTGGAACGGACGGGGCGTTCCGACAGTCGCAGGCGGACCGTCGGGCGATTGGCAAGTCCCGCTGGTACGATTGCTTCGACATCATCTCGCCCACGCTGCCATCGACCAAGGCTGCGACTGGTGCCAAGGCGAAACTCGCTTAAGTAGCAAAACAACACCTCGAATCCAACGCACGCACTTGCTAAAATTTCCCCATGTCGCTTGCCGCACGAGAGAACGCAAGGTCGCACAGGGCACACGACCCCTGCAACATCAAAACGACATGGCTTCGCCACGGTAGCCACCGGGGGAATGCAGCGAAGTCGGTTGCTAATTGATGAAAGAGCAATGCACACAGTCGTGGCTCGAGAGGTTGGATCGCATTGGCAAAACCTTTACTTGGTTGATCTCTGGCACATTACGCCTAACTTCGCAGTTGCATGCTTCCAGCACAATTTTGGTGAAAGTGATGGGCGGCGCGAAGAGTTCAGCAGGTTGATGGGATGGGAATGGATGGCGTGTGGACCTCCGCCGTCCCGAGAGATACGTCGCGACGTTGGCGCAGTGAGGGGCGAGCATCACACATCATTGCACATGTTGAAAGGACTTCGGTGAAGGTGCGTCCACACAAGGTGCTACTTTACACGCAGCGGCCGAGATTAGCCAGGATCTGCGCATGCTCGTGTTCCGTACTGAGCGAGGCCGTCGACGGCGTGGGAACGGGCGACGAGTGCTGTCTTCTGCGGGACGTTGCCGGTGGGTCTGCCTTGGATATCTCGCTACGTCGTGACGGGTAGTGTACTCCTCCGAGCGGTTGAGGCAGACCCGTGCTGGAGCCATTCTCGATCGACAACGAGCGCTTTCGTTTACGGTGCAAGTATGTCGGGTACGGGTGTCTTGGTTGAGTGTCAACGAGAAGGACGCAGGTTTGATGTTGGATGCAGAATGGCGTGGTCCCGTGCGTCGGTGCGGGACAAGACGGCGCAAAGCATTGCGATCGGCCGTTGGCAAGCACGGGCGGTACACAGGACACCATCACGAGCGGGGAGTCGTCTCCGTCGTCGTTCGACAGGGTTTGATTTTGGATGAACATGGCATTCGCGGTCGGTAGATGTGTAGACGTCGAAGTGCCGGATGGCGGTGGCGGCGGCGTGAAGGCCAGTCGTAGAGGCGTCGGAGGGAGGCCCAGTGGCGAGGACGCCGACGACGACGACGTCGTGGCGGCCGCCGCAGCGGCCTTGGCGTGGACGAGGCAGAGCCCGTCGAGCTTGCCGTAGCTCCGGCAGCGGGGGTAGCGGCACAGTTGCATGCAGGTGAGAGCGAAAACGCCAGTCAGTGGCGGACGTCTGCCTGCCGGCCTCCTTTTGTCGAATCCGTCAAGTGGTTCCCCATCTGACAAGTTACCAATGTTGATGTGCAGACCACAGCCAAAATCGCCTGAGCACTGGCGCCCCAGTCCATGCGCCCCGCCCACTGCCCAATCCGTGTTCCAGTTGGACGAAACGGGGCGCCGGATGGAGCCAGGTTCGGGGCGCGCGATTCCCCATGACCACCTGGCCGTGGGTGGGTAGCTCACCCGGGCTGAGGCATGTGGGGGTACCAGCAGCGAGACGCAACGAAAGTGCGGCGACTGTTGAGACGACAGACGTCTGGTCTGTACTGATGGCAAGCTCGACATCGACAGGGGGTGCTCCGTGCGGTGGGTGTCCCGCTCCGAACTCTACGAGCCACCTACACCCCCCCCACGCTGCGGTGGACAATGTGGTGGACTGGACTGTATGTAACAAAGCCAGTCGGCCGCACCTGGACGCCGAATGCCCACGACGCTCCCACGTAGTAGTACTCGCGAACGCCTGCCATGACAGGGACACAAATTCGTGGACCACAGGGCAGATTCGGTCACGATGCCAAGACCGTGGCCTTCTCAAGTTTGGGCAAACACTCGTCCGTAGCGTCCTGGCCAAACGTATGAAAAGCGAGGCCCATCCCCAGCCATGCCGCAACGTCGGCCCAAAGGTTGTACAGTGGGAGGAGACGTCGTCTTGCCTGAGGGCGCAACCCATCCAACGTGACAACTGGAAACGATGCGGGCGAGACACCCGGTCGTCCTGTCGTGTCTCGTGTGGTCAGAATCTGAGCAACATACGTAGTGCGGCGTCGTCGGGGGCGATCCATCCAAGTAGACTACTTCACGAGCTTCGATTCGTGGCAACCTACCTTTCCTTCCTCGACGTGGTTCGACTTGAGTTGCCCCCCTCCCCCATGGGGTCAAGTGGCTTCGCGCCTCCTTCCTTTGCAAGAACTCCCTATCCAATGTGGAACATTCGACCGTGACTACCACCTACACTTGAGACCAAAGAGCAGCCCGTCGTAGGCAAGTCGTGGTCAAGGAGTGCCAGGATTCCATCCATGGGCGATGCTTGGGGTGGGTGACAGCGCGGCCGTTTACAGTGCATGGCGACGTCGAGTACATCGCCGGCGAAAGCGCGTGGGTGTCGTCGGCCGACTTGGAGCTTCAGGTCGTTCCCGATCATCCAATTCTCATCATGCGCGCGGGACATCGCCAGGACCAAGTTGAAGGCACACTGGACAAATTGAGGGATCCGATTGGTGGAGGCGTTTTGAAACGGACCAATCAAAACTTCCGGCCACTTCAACAGTGCCGACCCGGCACGTGACGACAGCGCAAGGACGCGGCAGGAACTACGTGTTGGACAGGTTATGATGCATACTACAAACATCGCCAGTCTTGACGGGCTTCTGACAGCTCGGGGCTCGACACCGCCTGCCTGCAACGCGCCATCAATCCCTGGTGCTGATCGGCATTTGGCAAACGTACCTCCGCCGTGAGCCCAGCAAAACCCGCCCTTGAGCGCCCCTTTCTCGCACATTTCGTGGCCACATGTTTTGCTCCCGCCTACCGGTCATGGCATGACTCTTGTCAGCACAGATATGTGGGCACTAAACACACCATGCGCCCAACAAAGACCAAGACTCTTTGCGAACTTGCCACATCCTTGGTGCTTGCACTTCTTGCGACCACCGTGGAGGTGACACAGCCCGTACATCTTGGCGCCGTTCTTGCAGCCAGGCACTTTACATCGACACCCACCCCCGTGGGAAATGCACCGACCCTTGCTAACCTACGGAACACAGTTCACCTTAAGATAGCAGTCGGAGATCGCGCCGCACCGCCTTGTTCGGGCACGTCTTGATGGAGCAGGATAGCCCCCGCTTCTGGAACGCACTGTCGTCTGTATCGTCGCTATGTATGGACTCGTCGTCTTGGCATGAAGTCGCGAGCTTCTCATTACCATGGACATGACGCAACCTTCGTTGCAGGTCCTCTTGCTTCAAGGTGTTTTCGTCACAACGATCTCCTTTTCCCTCGGCGTCTTCGTCGTCGTCGTCGCTGTACGAGGTGGCAGTGGGGCCAATCGATGGATTGAGCAGATCCACAATCGACATGCTTGTCCCAGACTCGCTTGCTGAACGTGCTCGCATCGAAAAATGTGGACGTTGCGGCTGTAGTGTTGGCGAAGATAGCGCCGACGCCGCCGAATTCGAACCATCCACTGATGTGGTGGATCTTGAAGGTCTGATTGTGACGCTGGGGGGTCGAAACGCATCGTCTTGGTCGTGTGGCGCTTCCTCTGACGCCGACATACGCGTAGTCGTGGTCGCTTCGCCAGGGAATCGCCGAATGCAGAGGCGAAAACGCAGCCACAGGTCTGGCTTGAGTTGGTCGAGGCTCGGGAGGTGCTTTTCGTGCAATGTGCCAAGGCAAACACCCCAGATGACAAAAACAGGGACATCTCGTTGGAATTCGTGACAAAAGAAGGGATAAGCATGTGTGCCCCATATAAAATGTCCAAAAGTCCTCCATTCTATCCAATTTTGTATGTCATTTAATAAAAAATGAGAAACGTTTGACCGCTCACGTGTCCACTTCAACTTGATACAGGCCGAATCCGTTTTTGTCATGGACGGACTAGCGTGCCAAGTTGAACCAGAATCCCAGACGATCTTGACCGCAAAGATCCATTCGAATCGTCGTTGGAGAGAGCGCCACGTCATGCAAGCCGCGCTACATGCCCCAGTCAAGCGTTTTGCTGAACTCTTCTTCAGTGAATGCAATGTTCTTGGCGGCCTGGAGCAGATGAAGTGCGACCGCCATTCGACAAATACGCATCCCTATACCTCCAAGTGCAGCTTCTGGCGCTTGAGGATGTCGATGAGCTTCGATTGCTTCTTGTACAACGTGATGAGTTCGGCCTGTGGTCGAGCGTGAGCTGTCGCCCTTTATGGACGTGAGGTGGGCCGTGTTACCGTTTGCCTTTCCAGCGTCGTGACCTCCTTCCCGACCCGCTCAAAGTCGACGCGTGGCACGGCAGCTCCTCCTTTTTGCTCCTTGAGTTCTTTCAAGTCGCATTTGACCTTCTCCAAGTCGGCCACGACCCGGTCAAGTCGAATCTGTGCGTCCATTTCGCATGAAAATGTCGAAGGAGCGGCAGTACCAACCTGAACAGCCTTTGAACTCTGCGCTGCATGTTTTTCGTGCCTTCTGGCTTCGTCTAAGGAGGTGTGGGTGCTGGCTAGCTACATAACTTTACCTGTGAACACGATTCAGGTAGGACACCATGCACGAACCTCAGCCTCGGTGCCTTTGTACGTGACTTCAAGCATTGCCCTACACTCGTGAAGGGCATGAATGTGCCGTTAGACACATCGCACGCACTGCGCCGTTTTCTGTTTGGACAACTGGACTTCAATCTGTTGGAGTTTTCGCACGAGCGTGACACGGTCCGACTTCATTTGGTCGATTTGGTCCAACATTTTGCCCGTCGCCCGCTCCTAGCCGACCAAAGATAAAGAAACAATTCAAGTCATCGAGGCAAGTCCATATCGAGCCTACTGTGGCTTTGTTGCTCTCGGTGATGGATGCAACTTGTTCTTCAAGATGTTGCAACGTCGCGGCTTGCTCTCGTCGTGCTTGGTCCACCGCCAACGAGTGCGCCGACTTGTTCAAACTTGATATCGACCCATCGTTGCGACCGCCGGGAGGCTTTGCATCCGCCACAGTGCTGTTATAGTTTTGCTTGCTGCATTGCTGGACGGTGCTGGGAGTCGTTGGCGGGCCTCCTTCGAGGTTCTTTGTCGATGGCGACCGTTCGGACGTCGAGCCGAGAGGCGACGACGATCTCATTGCGTCACCTCTCGCAGGACACCCGACAGAGTTACCGTGTACCGCAGGTTTCGACGTCGCTCGACGGGATTCGCGGCCATCTCCCCCAGAGGGTGCTCCTCCAATTGGGCTCAGATTGACCTCGACGGTGGCATTGGCCATGGCTTGAAGTGCCGCCCGCGCCTCTTCTTGCGCCATCGACGAAGCGGCATTGAGCACTTCGTTTTGCTGCAGCAGCGCCGACTACATACACAGACAGGCGGCGTGGCAGTGGGATGGCACGACGTAGAACGACAAGGGCCTGTGCTTACTTCTCGCGCAGCCAGGTTGCGGCTCCCCATGGATCCTTTACATGTGGTGGCAGTTAGTGTAACCGTCGTGAAACGGTGTGGTTTTTCTGCACACGTCGCACAGTTCGACGACGCGGCCATGCCGATGGGAGCCGCGTGAATAGCCCTCCTTTGGACGAGACTTTGATGACGCCTCGTCATTGCATTTTGCTCTCCCATCGTCGGGTGGCTGACGACGGGATATGGAGGACGATGGCCGGGCATTTGGTCACGACAATATACACACGACTATCTGTGCACGTCGCAACAATCCAGTCGCATGCTAGCGAACGCATCAAACAAACTCGTGGTGCGTCAAGGGTAGTCGTGACCTCTTCATGGTGACCCGAACAGCCGATTGGTCCGCTTTGACGAAGGAGCGAGTTTGCTGGCTCTTGCAAGGACGATTTGTACGTTTTGAAGATCACGGTGTTGCCATTGTAGTACAATCGAGACAATAGCCCAACGTCCTGCCCGTTCATATCGTGTATTTACCGTCAAACCGCTTACTCCACTGCACAAATGACCCCCATTTCCATCCTTTAGTGTGTCGACGCTCGCATGGGACGCACTGAGCCGCGATACGAGCTCACGACGTTGGAATGCGCCACAAGTACCATGCAATTGCCGCAGCTTCGAACCCAGGCGACACAGTGACTTCA